TCTAAGCCATGTTCAAGAATAACTGAATAATGAATTAGCCTCTACAAGTACGACGTATGTCGAATAGCAAATAGCATCATCTTCTTCTCTACACTTTTCAACTATGCGATAGATTGGGCTATGGAAACCAACAACCAACAGTCCAAAGTACCACGGATTTTCAACGCGCTAAACATGTTTCTGTCCTTCGCTGATAGTTGCGCAGAATTAGAATCAAACGATAAATCTGGATATCGACAGCAGCAGTGAGAAGTTTTCCTCTTATACAAAAATTTAGTCAAAAATAATCGCCTTCTCTTTTATGTCATATTCATGAACCGTTATAAGAATCGGCGCATATTTGCAAAGCGTTTTGATGGATGGTATTAGAAGTGGACAAACTACTACGGGATGTTTTTGATTCCAAGTATAGCATCAGATCAGGTAAACCAGCAAGATTCGATAAATTAGAAGTTAGCAACCAGTGCTTCTGGTTCACTTGACTCCATTAATAGCCAAATTTTCACTCCAATTTACCACGAAATGTTTCGAACTTCGCATTAGGTTCAATGGCAATCATAAATCTATTGCCTACTCCTTAGACTCTCAAAATTAAAATATATTTTCTTCTAAGAAAATTAATTTCTTATTAACAAAAACTGATAACCGAATCCTTTGAAATTTTATTTTTAAAAGAAAAATAAATCATCATCTGCCATTTTTGCTGCAAATTTTATATTATTAGCTCAGCTAAACTATTGTCGGTGAAAGATTGCAAACTTCAACATGGACGGATATTTAGCAATCATTAGCAGCCCTTACAGAATATCAGTCGATGCATTAAAGTGGTAGAATTATATAATCTCTTTGCGATATTTCATAAAAAACCGCAATTTATGCAAAGATTTAATAAGTGCAAGGTAAATTTTTAAAAGGGATAAGCAGACGCGAAAATACTGGAATTATACGTTTAAAAATAAAGGGATTATGCAAAGGAACGTTACATAATATTTTATAAAACTACTTATTTTTCGTTAAATTGTTGAATCATTTTCTTATATAAATAATTTCGGTATTTTTCTCCAAATAAGTGGACAACTGTATGAAATAATTCACATTCGCCAAATTCCAGTTTAATATCGCATGGAATATGAAAAATATTCTCGCCGAAAAAATCTCTGATAATCGGTAAAATTTATAAAAATTCGTTGCATATAAAAAATGACGCAAAAAGAATTTAATCAATGAATTTCAAGATCATCAAACCACGTGTTTGTTCTCAAAATCAGTTCAAGTTTAAAAGGCCCATTAATTATGGAACAGAACATTCATGAAATAAGGAAAAGGTTTATAACAAGCAACTTATAAATGTACAAAATCGAGTAATTTATTCTAGCACAGAGGAAGAAGATTGTTGAGCAATACGGGCATTTTTGGCCTTCGCATACCTTTCCAAATCGTCCAGACTCAATTTATTTACCTTCCTTTCAAAAATCTGAAAGTTTTTACTGCGATATATTTACATTTATTGAAACAAATAATAGTTTAAAAACGTTTCCTCAGAAATAAAAATATCAGGTATTCATATGCAATTTTAAATAATTTAATTAATTTTTCACATAATTGAATTGCTGAATTACGGTCGGCAAATCTTTTGCAGCACAATGAGAACGGAAAATATTTCCAACAGCGCATGACAGAGGAGCCTTCATATCCACATTTGGAGTATGAATAACAGTTAATTTTGCACCATCTTGGATATCGTAAGATTCTAAAGTCGCTTCAGAGTCTGAAATCATATCACTGGAATTAACAGTTCATTTTTCAGCCTATCCAGCAAAACTAATTTATTCAATTTTCGTGCGGAAAACCTTTGACTCACATGACAAGTGAAATTTCAGCCCCAATAGCTGTAGTTGCAACGGAATATCTTCTTCAACCTAGCGAAATTCCTAGATAATCGTTGATATAAAAATATAAAAATAAAAATAAAAGTTCGCATCTACCTATCTATAGTCTTTGTTTCTGCGAAACATGGTCAATGAAACATGGTCGACATATATCAAGAAGTCTATGACCATTCCAGCTTAAAAAAGGGACGAAGGAATGGAATAATTATCTGCACCTACACTTCTATCTGCACTAGGCATCAGAAAATCGACCAGCAATAAATTTTTTAAAATATCCCGACCTTGCAACAACCTAGCTATATTTATATATGCTACATTTCTACCAATAAGTGGGTAAAAATTTCCAATCGTACTAACAATCTGCCGAATTAGCTTGAATGAACTAATGATCGTTAACCACTTGCTTAATCCTAAGTAAGTTAAGGTAAAAGTAATCTTAAGGTAAGTTTTCACTAAACACACAGAATCTAAGATTCCATTCGCTTTCACTGGAATATTACCTGTATTAACCAAGTCGTTGTAAATCACTTACGTTGGTTCTTAGCCATATCCTCGGTTGCCTATCAAAAGAATTGAAGCATATCGCTTTAAGCCTTTTGATGAATGGCATCAAAAGCAAAGAGGAGCAAAGATCTGAACTAGTTAGGGAAGATTTTGAACTCATAGATGGCCCAGTGAAACATGGGTTTGGATGGAGGAAATGGGAATGGCTTATGCTTCGCGTATGGCATAGGATCGAGAGCTTTGGAAATATCTTGTAGTCAGCGAAGCCAGTCTAGCCATTAATAACCTGTTAGAAGAACAATTTTTTAATTGAAAATGTACTCACTTTTGTGAAATTAATAGAATGTAAGGGTGTTTATGTAATAGAATATTTTCAAGCACTTAGCGAGCATCTTTAAAATTATGAAAAAATTCGTAATCCATGAGAAGTACCTTGTACTTCCTATAAATTATTTCGAAGGTTATGGATATTTCTTAAAATTAAAATATAATTTTATAGTTTGAATTTTAAAATTAAGACGGAAAAATATACTAATAAGCGGACGACCAAGATAGAGAACTTTTAATGTGTCAGCAGGCAAACACAAAACGTTTCCGATTTCTTTGCGCAAATCTTGAATACTTTTGTTTAATCCGATCTAAAAATGAAAAATTTTTTAAAAACAATGATCAAATAAAGGACATCAATCAATCGAAAATCAAAATGACGTTTTAAATGAATAAATTAAATTAATGAAAAAGAGAATGCAGAAATAATCGTAAGTTTTTCTAAGTAAGTTTTATATAATTTTTTTAAGTAACAAATCTGAAAATAAGGAAAATAAGGTGCAGAAATTCATTATTTTCAGTTATTCGACTTTATTCTTAAATAAGAAATTTTGCATAAATTTTCAAACAAATATATTTGTACAAATATATTAATTCAAATATATTTGAAAAATATTAAAAAAATTCCGAAAAAGTTTAAATAACTTATTTTTTATTTATTATAATTTTCAATAAAAATAATTATTTTGGATAAATCCTGCAATCTTTAAAGACAATAAAAGACGAGGAACTGACATCGATCGCGCATTCCGTAGTTTTGCTACCAAGTCTCTTTGCAATTACTTTCATCATACACGTTGGTGTTGACAATTCAACTGCTTCCACTCGAAAAAGATTTTACAGCAACGCGATTCGCTGTAAGAAAATAAAAAATGGGCATTAAGAAAAGGAATAAAAGTAAAAAGTCGTATCTGAGACCGCAAAATCAAAATTTCAGAATAAAAATTTCGAAAGATTCGAAAAGGAAATTTTCTTAACAAAATGAAAATATTCGTAAAAACCCAAAAAAATTAAGAAAAACAAGTTGGATTTTGAAAAAATTCCTAAAGAAAACAAACGATTTTCACGAAAATCTATTGCAACATTTTAAACCAAACTTATTCAGTTGCAAACTTATCAAAATCTTCGTTTGTTTTGCTAGCGAAATTGATGCCCACAAAACCATAGAAAACTAAATCGACAGGAGAAAGCTACAGAAATCATATTTTCTTTTCAAGACCAATGACTGGAGTTCCGACATCACTGTGTGCTAGGTTGCCATAGCCAGGTTAAAATAATGGAGTTCCGACACCACTGTGTGCTAGGTTACCATGGCGAGGTTAAAATAATGTAAGGGCCCTATGGAATCAATATAGTGTACGAAAATTTAAGAAAAGAACATATATATATACATTATGCTCGAATATTATCGTCGTTACACAAATTGTTGCTACAAATCGATGCTCATCTCATTCAAGAAAATGTGCCTAATAGCCAATTCTAAATAAACATATTAGTTTAAATAAGTGTAATCATTCTTCCATGCAAAACTGGTTGTCCATGAAAAGTGGTCAGTGCTGCCACATAACCAGGAAAGTGATTTCTCCGAGGCATTCACCCTACTTTATGAATCAGAAATATATAATTCCATCACACAGAATTTTTAAAATTATTTGTCTGTGCTTACAAAAGAACTGCTCCGCTTTCTCATAAATCAGCCAAATTTTGTCGAAATTTCTCACGCTAGTAATATCATTTTGATCCGACGTGTCGTAACCTTCAAGGCTCGCTATAACTGCCTAAAAACGTTATATTTTATTCCATCAACCCTTCAAAACCTCGCTGTGTTCCCTTAATGCTGTATAAAATTCAATACTCCGCCACACCTCATCATCGGCAGCATTAGGTTACGCCAGATTAATGCTTTAATTCATAATTTTCTTCTGGAGGAGGCTAACTAGAATTGAAAATGTCAAATCACTGAGCTTTTTTAATGATAATTCAAAGAACTTTGCTTGCTAATCGCAACTTTTTTTAGAAATTCGATATCTCAAGTATAACTGGTTTCATCCAATTGTAAGCTTAATGCTTTATTAACAGTAGCACTTGAAAAATGGAACCCAACTAGAATTCATTTCTGTCTGTATTTCAGAAATTTTTGCCAGCTTTTTCATTGCGCCGAGATTCTTTTCATCAATCATATTTGAGCACCTTAAAATGATTGTGGATTTTCTTATTCTTTTTTTGCTTTGCAATGTGACTTGAAGAATTTCAGTCCAGTTCAGAAGTCGAGCAAAGTAATTACCTTGGTAATGGGACGAAAAAGAAAGCATAAATAAGGCCAGAATTTTGCTCAAATTTACTAAAACAACTATTACATTTTATATCGAATGGCTAATGGACTTGGTTAATGCTCATGGATAGAGAGAATGGCCACGAATACGATCATTTATCACGCTTAGTTGATTATCAAATAGGAACAATTTTCCAAAAAGTTTTACGAAAAAAGCAAAAAAGGAAAAAGTAGTCTCAAATACATCAATCAGAAATCAATTAGCGAATCTTCTAAGGTGCTTGCCAATAAGAAATCCGCCATTAATGGCTGATTAATGGATTTGGCTGATTCGTTACGCCGAACGATGATGAGCAATAACTGGTATCTGACATTATTAATTACGTAAACTTAACTTGACAGCTTAGCTTGCACAGCCTAAATATTTAGCAAATTTTGCGATGAAGCTATGTTGGTGCATTAATATCGTTGAAAAGAATTCATATTTTTGTGGAGTTGCATTTAGCAATCGTTGTCTCTCTGCACTTTTTGGATTCGCGCAACTACTCGTCTGTTTATTCTCTTTATTTCAGGTATTTTTTTCACACAATATGGCAAAAATTCGAGATATGATAACAACAACTTTAAATTATGCTACAAACCAAAAATAAAATTGTACTTACAACTTAAGAAATATCCATAATCTTCGAAACAACAGCTTATAGAGGAAACTTCCCATGGAGTACGAATTTTTTCATAATTTTAAAGACTTCTGAGCTTATTATTATTATTATTATTATTATTATTATTATTATTATTATTATTATTATTATTATTATCATTATTATCATTATTATTATATTATTATTATTTTATTCTACTTGCTTGGAAAAATCTCCTTATTTTAGCATATTTATTCATGGATAAACTATCGGCATGTTTTTTATTGCCATTCGAATATCACAGAAAATTCAACAATTAGTGAAAAGGTCTGAGTTACAAATCTTTACTAGTAGTTAAACATTAATCCAGAATATTTGCATTAGCAATACTATCTATTATCGAAGACATGGTTAAAATAATTAGCGTCACCTTTATATGTTTATCTTCCTCTATTGGCTGATTGATCCATCCTTTCGCTAAAAGTCACTCGGAAATAAAGATAAGTTCTTCCCAGCTCCGTGCCTCATGATCGCTCTTCATTTGCTCCAATTTATTTCTTCATGAGCTTGCATTTAGCACATATTACCGATAATCTTTTGCGATGAGATGAAGCAAAAGTTTTGATGAAAATTTCATTTTTAAATTTTTATTTTTAAATTTTTTTTCAGTTTCTTGCTTATGACATAATAATATTTGATTATGGCCTAATGCATCGAATATTAGGAACGAACGAATGCGTAGCCAATTACTTAGATGGCGGATTTATGAGAGGATTGTGGTGCTTATCACATGCTGGAGCTTTATTGCTCTTGCCAATAGCAATTTTTATCTTAACCAAACCTAGCTGGCTACTCTGGCCAGGTCACCTTTTATTTTTTTTGGAATTTTCATTGGTCCAATTAATAATAATGAAGCGATTGCATCAAATAAGTTCTAAGTTGATCTAATTTAGCCTTATTAATGCAATCTTCATATGCACTTGGACTGGCAATTCTTTCAATGGCAATCGCTCCTAAATTAATGGATGCATTCAGTGGCAAAGTTAATGTGGGTTTAATTTATTCTTTTGGTATATTTGTTACGGGATTCATACTTAATTGGTTTTTTACGCTCGTCCTTTGGCATTTTTATTGGTATATAGAAAGCAAGTCACCAACGTGAAAACATTCATCGTTATCTCTTCTGTTGCGCTAGTTCTCGCCTAGAAATTCAATGAAACAAGTAGATTCATCGAAATCTTCTCAAAACACCATCGACGTTATTTTTGGCTAAATTACACGCAACATGATTAGCGGTTATTTTACTTACTTATTTCAGCTTTTGTGGCCAATTATGTATCGAAGTCTAGCAAAATAAATTGGTTTTAACATAGATTTTTGCTCCACATTTTTTATTCTCATCGTATTAAGTATAAGAATGCGAAGTGTTAATGAGTTTAATATATTAATATAAAAAACGTTAGAAAAGCTATTTTGGAGACTGATTTATATCAATTTATTATTCGATAGCACCCTAATAATCGAATTTCCTTTGCTAACATTCTCCGAATGATAAAAATAAGGTGCATAGAAAAGCCACTTTCTTAGAAAATGGCTTTGCTAATCTCGCAAACAGTGGTGTTCTCCTTTGACCACTAAAAAAATCGAATAAAGAGTAAACATAGTACGATGTGCTTTATGTGTGCCTTTAGGTCGTTTGAATGAATTACTGGTTCAGGTTCTTGCAAAACAATTTTTCATACCGCTATCTTTGCTATCTTTTCAGTATATAACGAAAAAACATATAACGAAAACAGCCAGCAGGTATGTATGCGGTAAAAGTGGATTTCATTTTCTTAGCCGCAAAACTTGCCAAAACGCCTGGATATCTCTACAGGCAAAGACAAGAAATTTCTCCAAAAAATTTCTTCATGAATCAACACTTTTCAAAAAACCCTTTTTAAGACTTCAATATCAGGTTTATTCGTTTATCAAATAAGTAAAAACCTTGCTAAATACCATAGGTTCATGTATTATTCTTCATACAAATATTTATGATTTATTTCAGTTAAATAAGCCGATATATTTTGGAAAAATTTAGATGAAATATTGTGAAAATTAAAATATACATAAATTAAAATATTTTCCAAATAACTCAATAAATTTTAAATAAAAGTTAATGCGAATTTCGCTGGCAAAATTTGAAGATTAACTAATTATAAAGTGCTTCCAAAGGAGGAAAAGAAAATCAATGCGAGTAGAATGTTGTATGGGAACAGAAAGTCTATAGCAAAGAAGTGTACACGAACATTTAATAGAAATTAAAAGAATGCGTAGAATGATCGGATTCAATAATATCTGTGTTTCATGCATCATGCATTGCAGTTCTCGAACTTTCATTAAACCAAGATATAACTCAGGCGATTTCATTTCAAAACTGGAAAGCATCTTCTGAGATATTCCATAAATTTTGGGACATATGAAGAGGCAAAAATTGCCAAAAAATGGCCAACTATTATTAAAAATTAAAATATGGGTCAAGTAAATTTATAGAAGGAATAATCAAATAACTAACTGCAGTGGGAAAATGTTTCACATAAGATGAAACGATCTAATGGAACCCTACAGTCATCAAAGATATATGCCATTGTCCCAAGGTAAACACTTTGTGCTACGAGGGAGGACGGCTGAGGCTGAAGCTATAAGCAATCTGTGGATTTAGAAACTTGTGAATGGTGGAAAACAAAATCGTCATCAACATCGACGACGACCCTCCAATCGAAACAAGCATAAGAACTGCAGAAATGGACGTTACGTGCAACAAGACAATTATAAAATATTGCACAGATCTCTTCAGTATTAAATTTCGATATCAGTAATTAATAATATTTATTAATTTCAGTATTACATATTTATCTAGGCATCATTAGCACTTCACATAAATAAAAAAGTAATAAGAAAATAATAGTAAAGGTCATTTGTGAAGATCACAACTGTATAACAATATAACTGAATCAGCATTACAGATCATTCAAGAGCAGCTCGATGAATTCTCCACCGAGATCTGAAGGCTTAGGCAGTCTTTGGAAAATCATACGGTGCAAGAGAGCGTTAAAACGACCGAGATCATGCACAACAAGGGCTTGATGATAACTAAAGAACACGTCGGCAAAATAGAATAGAATAGAATAAGCTCGCATTCCTTCTCTCGAAATAAAATTGGAATCACAGCGAATGAACTGCGATGAAGGAACACCCTGGCCAGACTTCCGTGCCTACTGAGTAGTAAGAACGTTGGATGACATTTGAAAATTTCGCCTCGAAGACCATCTTCTCCGAGTTTTGTGGGCCTTAATCTTCTGAATTAACATTTCAACATTTAAAATAAAATAAAACGCTATTTATTTGTTCATTTTAAGAAATGCTATAACATTTAAAGTCTGATTAATGTAGTGAATAAAATGTTTCAAAAGTTGAACACTGACATCAATTTGAATGACTCAACAAACGCTTTAAATATTTATATAAATAATAATTTATCAAACTTTTTTCGAGAATTCCACTTGGGAGATAAAAGTCGATCAATCCGCGAATAAAACTTTTTCCGGATGTAGACGTGGTAATTAATTAAAGATTAGATTAGACCTTTTCATAAATATCGCAGTTTATCTCAAATTTCAACGAAATTCATAGCCGAGAATCTAAATGGCGAATCTTTAAAAGAAAAATGCAAAAATTTATAAGTTCCTTAAATTAAGGTGAAAAAATGGATATGAGTGGTCCAAAATTATACAGTGCACAATAAATTAATATTCAAAGGCACTTTTAATGAACTGAAGGATGAAGAACAACAGATTTACTGCAATTTATTAAGGATGCGACTAAGGACATAATTGACGATCCTAGTAGTGTCAAATGGCGAAAGACTGAGTAAAATTGAAACCTATCATTAACTTCTCAAATTGAGATCGAAGCAGCGATTGAAGGTTTAAACAAATTTTACATCAACAAAATGAAGAAAAATCAAATTTTAACCTCGAAATTGTCGAATATGCCATAATTTCCACACTGTTGACTAATATATTTCTTTATTTTATTATTTTAATCTACAATTATTTTATTTATTTCTTATATTTGGAATTTTCACAATTTGTAAATCTCTATTTCTTCCTTTTTAATTATGTTATATATAATTTTGTTAACGTATTCGAATATCGTTCAACTATCGGCAACCTTGCTCCATCGAATTTGTCGCTACTTTTGATTCGTTCGACAGGATGGCGCTTTTGTAAATGGAATACGATGGTGTTCCAGAGAAAATCAGACCTTGTCAAAGCATTTTATCGGTGCCTCAGCGAAAATGCAGCGAATGTGTGCGTGGAATTAATACTTTTTAAAATACATGATAAAAGTTGCGTTCTCTTTCCCACAGTTATCAACTGTGCAATAGACTGGATTATGGACAATGCTTGCTTGCAGTGAAGAAGCCGAATCAATTCCGATATAATATCAGAGACGTCGAATACGCCAATGATGTGGCTTTTCGCTAAATATGAGGAAGTTCAACGGACACTAGACTGGACAGCGATGGCGCCTCCAAATCATGTAAATTAGAAGATGAAATTTTTTCACCTTAATATCAGACGTTGATAAGATCGCAGTGTATCGCAAAAAAACAAATTCATCAATGAACAAAGAAATGACACGCTTTGAATATTTCAAATCCACTTTCATAACTAATGACAATGAGAAAGATGGATTCAGCTCGGATGGTTGCAGCCAGATGTTTTAAGCGAAATCTCTTTGAAATCTAGGCGAAATCAGCGAAAGACATCAAAAACAAAAGACCACATCTGCCTGGTTTTAGTATGCACAGCCCAACCACACATCATCGAAACTTCACCAGTGAGAGTGGGAGAATATAAAAGAACTATATGCCATTGACCATTCTTGCCTAAGGCGCCAAGTGAACAGAGTCACCTGATTACATGCCCCATCGGCCATTTCCATTAAGGGAATCGTCTGCAATGGTATAGCTATGTTCATCGTTCACCACAGGCACTTAACATCAGACATTCGCAGAATGAGTCAAAGCAACAACGATATGATCCACTAGAATGTTACGTACATATGTACTAAATTTTATATGCTAAATTTTTAATGACTTTTCCTGATTTGAATTATTTTTAATCTATTACATAAGCTATTATTTAACGCCCCGTATAACGATAAGAGAATGCCGCATCTGCTCGTTATATCACCAAAGTCGGATCTGCATCGACAAGTTATTCCGATCACCCAGAGGTGAATCAGGCACGACAGATTCAATTCCCATCCCTTGACCCAAATCAGTATCCCAGAAGTGATGTACATATATGCAATAGATGCATCTATACTTGCCCAAACAGTCTCCTCGCAAAGCGACCTCACCCTAATAGTCAATTCTCTCAACCAAAACTACTGATAGAAACCAAAATCGTCAATAACAAAACTACCAAACAAATTTTAACCTGCAGAAAACTGCGATGCCACAGAGAGACTCGGAACTTTTTCACGACTACCCCGCAGAAATCCCACACAACTTAAAAAACTAACCAAAACCGACATTTCCCCTTCAAAATAATTTAAGAATTTCTTCGCTATCGATCCGCCACACGTCTTGCAAATTATCTCGAAATTTACAACTGCATTCGCGATTTTCGACCCTATATCTTTACATGCTAACTAACAATGGAGCACTTCACTTTTGAAATTGTCCAATTTTTAAAGCAAAATCAATATTCAACGCTTCCTAAACTCTTCCGGTTCAACCTCTGCTAAACTTCTAACACTCAATATGACCGATGAAAACAAAAAATTATAAATCTAATACTCTTCAAGAACTGGACAGTCATCCTGCAAAAAAAACTTCACCCACACCACATGTGAATCGCCCCTCAGGAACCTGTACCTGTCGAAAATAAGCACACAACTTCCCACTAGCCGTATTCATAACAATTTACTGAATTCATGAAACAAAATTAAACTTATGATTTTTTAAAGAACATTCAATAATATATTTTTCAATTTCAAAATATACTTCAGTCATCAACAATCTTACCTATTATAATTCAATTAACAATCCAAAAAATAAGCTTTCTCATGCGAAATACACCTAATATACTACATAGAAAAATTCCACCTTATGCCGATAAAATTTTAAACCTCTTCGAAAAAAAAATCAAATCAAAATATGTATCAAAATATTCAGCCTTAAAATTAATTCCAAAATAATTATCCTTATGTCAGCGCTGGAATCTTATAAAGACTTGGCTAGAAGGTACAAATTATGAAAGAAATTCATGTTAATTATTCAATGCTCAATACTTAAAGTCATCAGTAAACAGTAAAAAACAGTAAAAAAATTTTAAAGCAAAAAGTTCTTGTTTAAAAGGCTTTAAAATTCATTTTAACGGAAGAATGAATCATTTCGGTGATATACAAACTTTTAACATCAAACCAAAAAACCGACGACAGAAACATTAAGAAAACATTTAAATATACATATTAGATCCTCATATGATTAAAGAAATTTAATAGTGGAAACGAATTTGAAATCGAGGAAAAGTGACGTTCTTGGAAAATTGGAAATAAATCCCTAAATTGAAAATTAATGATTGAGGGGCTTCCCGGCTATTGCAAAATTTTATCAGATCACATTGCATACTTCTGTGTCCATTCACGAGCCAACTGATTGTACCGTTCTCGATCACCTTTATAGATACGCGCAATCTCAGGCACCAGAGGATCATCTGGATTTGGATCACATAACAGCGAACAAATTGAAAGCAACACTACAAACAATCAATATTTGAAGCAAAAACGAAGGAAACTTTCATGATGAACAATTCCTATTCCTAAAATTTGAAAAAATGGAACTCAACTTATCTAATCTCTTTACCTTTCGATATAGTCAGAGCTGGTGACCATTGCGAACGAAGTATATCCAAACAAATACTTCCATTACTATTGATATTCGGATGATAAATACGAGTGGTAAACGCTACCTAAAAATCAATGCCTTCAAAAAAAATCTGGATGCAGTAACAATTATAGTGAAAATCCTTTTAGCGAAATTCTATCTTTCAGTCAAAAATGAAAATCCTTAAAATTCGTAATTTAGAAACATTCAAAAAACCCAGTGATCAAATGATTTTTTAATAAAAAAATGTCTCCTCCTAAAAATTCCTTTAGAACAAAGAAAAGAATGATAAAAATTTACTTTCGGTGGTTTAAATGGATAATCTGTGGGGAAGTGAATTGTGAGAAAGAACACTCCGCCTTGATATGGTGACTCGGGTGGCCCCATAATAGTAGCCTGCCAATGAAATAAATCATCGCCGACTGGTCCTGCGCTGCACTGTGCAGGTGGATCTCTACCCAAATCTTGCAATTCCTGAAGGAAAAGCCAACATAATAAATAAGCAAAAAATCCGCTAAAATAAAACATTATATATTATTAAAACATAAATTTTCAGTGTTGAATAAAAAATCCATCAAATTTGCGTGAAATATTTTCAAAAATCCCGTGATTCTTAATTCTATTCAATGTATTCTTATTTGCTGCTGATTAATCTCTATAGTTATTAATAATTGATATGGTGGCTCAGGTGACCCCATAAAAGTTCGATTTGTTCGATTTGGTTATTTCAGTCATCGAAACTGCTACTCTTCACGTGTTAATTATATTATCCAAATTTAAAAATCAAAATAAAGTAGTGAACAAAGTATTTCCTACATTCACAAATTTTTGATAAATTAACATAACAATATTAATAATCCTAATCGATTATAAGGCAATAAATACAAAAATTTCACTGAAAAGTCAATCAACTGATAATTTATTTATTGCAAAAAAATTCATAATGTTCATCCGAAATTTCATCATTACAAGGTCATCGAACTTGATAATTCCTTTCATTTACAAAAATTTCCTTAAAATATTTCGCAAAAATATAATTCCCCAAAAAAACCTTCTATCTGGAAAAAAACCAAACGAAGTGTGTAAAAACTTTTCTCATTTATGATTCTAAAAGCTTTTCTAAACTTGGCTTAATTAATCAATTAATTTCAATTTTAATCAATTAATTCAATCGGAATATCCTAAAAGTTCCCAATTTCTTACTTGAACTTTAAAATAATCAATTAAAGAAAAAAGAATCGGTTTACTTTAAAATTCTTCATTAATTCATCGACAACTCTGCGAAAATTATTTAATTGAAAATATTTAAAACAGTTTAATTAAAATAGGAACAGAATAAACTTTCTTTCCCTTTTATCATTTAATGTTAAATCTATCGTCGGAAAAAAATTTTTCCAAATTCCTTGAATAATTAAAATGGTTCTATTTCAGAAGCTTTAAGAATGAAGTGGAATATTTCAAACAAACCTTTAAAAAAATTGAATAAATTTCAAAACAAACCTTTTGAATCCGTTTAAGTGCCATTTCGATAAAAACTTTCCTTCCCTTCTACAAAATTATTTAAAATTTTCCTTCTTTAATAATCGATTTTAATCGCTTTCCTTCGTTTTTGATTTCTTTTTTCCCGTCTTCCAATATCTTTTATTTTTCGTCGTTTTTATTGATCGATTTTTCTTATTTTTAAGAAATAATTTTATAGGAATAATAAAAATAAAGAAAATAAAGTTTCTTTTCTCTTTTCTTTTCAACGAAACACCCGTACACCTTGAAAGCAGCGAAAACTAAACAAAAAAATTAAGCGACCAATCAATCTCTAAAATTATTATAAAATACGCTCCACATAGCTGCGACGCATCATGCCAATTTGCTATGCGCATATAATTCACTTTCTACGGTAATTCCCGGCGCCAAATTTAAATCACCATTTATTAATTTGACTTCCCCACGATTAACAATCCTCTAAGGAAATTTCCCTGAGGACAATATTTATGAACCAGAAAACGAAAACGACCGAAGTGAAAACTTTTCAAAGAATCTACCAAGCTCCCTCAACCAAAGGAAATAAACCGTCTAAGAAAAAAATTTAGACAGGAATCGATTTCTCTCTCTCATATCTCGACACATTTTTTAAAGTGTATTTTAGAAAATAACCTGGTTTTCCACTTAGAAGTATCAACCATCCTATCTTACCAAAAATTTAACGTCTAACTTCCAGCGCTAACATTTCCAATCTGACATATATCTAACATATATATGAATATATGTATATATTTTTTTTTAAAAAGTTCCCACCATTACTAGTTAAACTCGTTCCACTGGCTATCATATTGATCAATATGCCAGGGAGCCCCGTGGCAATAGAAATACAGGTGAGTCGCCAGCATCACTCGGATTTTTGCACAGGTTCACTCCTGCGGGGAATCGAACAACAGCTTCGGCTGCTCCAAATTGAGCAACAACTCATTGAGCCATTCTATCCCCTATATATATATATATATTTAAGACTGCTTTTTATTAAATTGCTTTGGAATTTTTGCGAAACGATTAACCAATAAAGCAGTATTCTGAGAAAAATACACTGAATACCTTTTTTCTAAAGATCAAATAATAAAATAAAAAGCAAAAGCATGCTTTTGAGCTGCTGAGATCATTTAGTGATCAAAATCGACACATTTCATAGACTTGAACTGATAGATTTATGCAAAAAATAGTGAAAAATATTGTTAATAATAAACAATAATAAATTAATTGCAAAAATTTTACATTTGAAAATGAAAATTTACATAGTATATTAACGAAAACTGTATCGCAAAAAGAAGTGGAAGACAAATTAGGAAAAATAAAAGGATTCTGCTTCAAATTATCAAATGGCTAAATTCCTTGTGCTTTTAATCGCAGAAAGCAATTCTGACAGACCCGTACAGGTTTTGTAATCCGCATATGTTTTATATCCGTTTCATATCGACTGCATCTAAACAGCCAATAAAGTTTCAGAAGTTTTTGAAAAAAAACTAAATGCAAAAAAAGTTTTGGGATGCATAAGAATTTTATAATCCTGATTCAATCAAATAAAATGAATTTACTATAGAATTTTGCCATAATGATTAAAAATGGACTAAAAGTGATAAAAATAAAATAGCACGAACCGACTACAAAATATATGTCCACAATTACGACAGTGATGCCGACGTTCAGCAATTGAAAAGCGTTGTAAACATTGTGTGCATGAATGACGGCTAGGATCTTGTATCCAGTGATCAGCCCGATTACCAGCTTCGCCCATCTGCCAGTGCCATACACGACCCACTCCATCTCCCACATAAAGTGATTTATGATCCCTAAATATATGAATAACTATCATTCGAAGAAATTCCCAAACGAAGCGAAACATACTTGGATGGAGCAATAGCTGTTATTGGAGCAGGCCTCGGATTATCGTTCCTACTAAAAGCTGTATGTGCTGTTAAAGATGCTCGAGGTACTAGTATTCGTAGCCACGCTTTCTGTTCTGAATTTGAGGAATGCATATCCCCTCCAGGTGGCCAATATTTAGCATTATTATTCTGCAACTTGATTTTTCAAGAAATTATAAGTGATAAATGGAAATATGCAAATAATTAAATTATGCTAACCCATGTATTTACCACTGATGTATTTTCTTCACTGTCATAAGCAACAGGGCTGAAAGGCTCAGGAGATTCCGCCTGGCTCTCTGTAGCAGAAAAAGTATCAAGTGAACTAGTTGAAGACCCTAGGCGCAATCGCTTCCGCTGTTTATCTAATCGTTGTTGGAGATTGGCAGCAGTACTTAATATCGGCCTCGTTCCTCTGAAAATTCAATAAAAATATAGAATGCAAATAAAGATCATTAAAATAAAATCACATAAATAAAGACCAATAAAAATTTTGAAATAAAATATACTCCAGAAAACCTTACAATCCACTACGCTCAGGAATTACAGCAGTCGATTCCGAATCAGTTTCAATCATTTCAAGAGAATATATTCGAACAACTCCATCACTCCCTCCACACATCACCACATTATCTCTATCCCATTCATTAACCTGAAATAATTAACTTAGGTTTGGTCCTACCCAATAGCAGAAAATTTCGAGATTTCTCAAACTTCAATATAATAATTTTGAATCAACGACCAGTTTCAAACTTACGTATGAGAAAGCAATTGCTAAAATAATATTGGTTCCTGCATTTATTGGTGATGAATCGCTATTATTCACTATTGACAACAATTGACCATTGATCGACCAAATAAAAAGAAGCGATGATGAAGCGGTCGCAATATCACCCTAAAAAATTGTTGTTTAATTAATTAATTACTATTTTATTCTAGGAAAAAAATCAATTAAATTCCAGCAAATGCACTAACCGTGATTTCATTGATGGCGACACAAGTTACAGAAGATGGATGCGGTCTTAACTGTCGAATAAATGTCAATCCGCTCAAATGCCAAAGTATAGCTGAACAATCTCTACTGGCACTTACAAGTAAAGTTTGAGCAGAGCAAGCAGCTAATGCTGTTATGGCATCCGTATGAGCAATAAATGTATGTTTCATATGAAGATTTGATGCTCGGTCAGTAATATTCCACATACAAACCCGTCCTGTCGTTGAGCCGGTAAACAAGGTTTTTGAATCGCTACATGCACAGCATGTTATTTCTGAGGTCTCACATAACTCATGAATACAAGTTGACTAAAAAGATGAGATTAATAATAAAAATCATGATTTTAAAATGTATAAATCTAAAATAAAATAAAACAGAATAAAAACTTTCCAAGAATGAAAGGTAAAAATGTGTTTAAAGGGCTACTTTAAACTTTAAAGGAATTGGAATATTTCTCTAAAAATAACAATAAATAGTTAAATACCTTATCAGTATCAACAATACCAATCCTAATGCTTCTATCCAAAAAACCCCACGAAAGATACCGATTAGGAGAAAGAAGGACACGATTTTCCTCGAGTGCTGTTAAGCTTTTCTCCGTTGCAATCAATGATCCAACAGCCGATTTAAGCTCTCAAAGAAATTTCTTCAATTCGGGTATATATTAAGGAAATTCCATATAAAAATAGATATTAATGGAAAATAGACAAAAGAGATATAAAATAGATGGTACCTAAAAATTTTTTAAAGAGTTCTCACTATTATTGGTTAAACTCGCTCCACTAGCTTGTCGCACTGGACAAATGTGCCAGGGAGATAGAAATATAGGTGAATTGCCAGCATCACCCGGATTTTTGTTACCGAATTTCAGGCTTACTCCTGCGGGGAACAGAACCTCAGCATAGGCGGAGCTCCAAATTGAGCAACAACTCACTGAGCCATCCTATCCCCAGAATCTAAAAATCTGATAAATTTGATTAATTTTGGGTATTATAGTCGTCACCTTTTATTGGTTGTTGAGGAGCTTTGATCGAATCTAAAGAATGGTAGAACAATCGCTGAGTGGTAAGTCCCATTATAGAAGAATATGGATCAGCATATACAATTTTTTTTTGCGGATGTGGTTTTTTAAAAAGCTGAGTGGGAATTTGACCAAAGTTATTGATAAATCCAATAGTAGCATTTCTGAAATAGAAAAAAAAATGAGGGCGGTCATTTTCAATAAAATTTCCTGAACCAATCTGCAAACGCTGCCTTGTAAGTGGGTCCTGAATGTTTTCGAAATCCACATTTCCCTCATAAAAAAGATGGTGAAATACATTCAGCGCATCCACGGCAGGTTCTCCGAATTGTTTATATCCGAATATAAGATCAATCCAGTTATGAAGATTGGCTGACACATAGTCACATTCTAATGCCTGAACGATAGCTTATGAGTGTGGAGCTACCATTACACTTAAAATATTTCAGGAATATATTAATAATTCTTCAAACGAAATAAAATAATAATTCGATATGCTAAAATTCAATCGATGTATTGAACAAATTTAATTACAATAATAAGTAAATAATTATCAATAAAATCTGGAAAGAAAAAGTGACCTCCCGATGAACTCGAACAAATTCTCTTGCATCACCCTTTGCCCAAGGAGGAAGTATAACATCGTCAAGTCTGATGCCATTTTGTTTTATACCAAGGTCAAAATGGTTCGAGTTGATAAACATTTCAGGAAGGGAAAAAAATTCCGGAATTAATTCTTTAACATCAGCCATATTATTTCGACTAGCACTTAGCCAAGCATCGCCAACGCTGTAGAACATTCTATCAGCTAAATCGAAATGACCACCCTAAAAAAAAAGAATAATCAATGGAAAATCTAAAAATTAAACTTAGTGCAAGGCTTTCCAATGGAATCGATGGACCTCCAGAAATCGATTGGGTTCCAATGCGACGATCGTCGGTAAAGGGCCGATGAATATGGGGATAGAATGGCTCAGTGATTTATTGCTCAATTAGGAGCGTCGATATTAATAAACCTGTACAAAAATTCGGGTAATGCTGGCGACTCCCTGTATTTCTATCGCCAAGAAACTCCATGGCATATTGTCCAATGCGACGAGCCAGTGGAGTGAGTTTAACCATTAATGGTGAAAAAAAAAGAAAGCCAATGGACAAGTAGATAAGATCTATACCCAAAAATTTTTCTTCAAATTAAAATCCCATAAACTTTTAAAATATCAAAAAATACATTCAATTACCGTCTTAAAAACATTTATAAGAATTTTAAGAGAATAGATTGGAATATATAAAAGGTAATATGTAAGATGCAGGAAACCTTTAAGGATTTAGCGTATAAAATTTTTGACATCATAATTGTAATGTCACAATGTTGTTAAAAATATTATTTGCAATGATAATTAGAAAAAACCTGAAGTTTTAGAAATTGTTGAGTAAAAGGTTCGAGACGGACTAAATATGAAACGACAATCATTGCACTGCTATAATGAGTACCGAACATATAAGGAGGAGTTTCACCAGTAGGATCATCCCATTCGCGATAGCGCTTCATAAATTGCTCAAGACGTTCAGCACTTTGTGCACCCATTGGTTTACTAAGATCTCGGAAAATTCGTGGATCAGCAAAATCCAACACCTGCAAAACAATATAGTTTTATTGAAAAAGTCACCAAAATGCTTATACAATGAAAAATTTAAATATACCTCTGACTCGTAATCACGCAGAATCCATGGAAAAATTGGGTACTGAGAAAGATCATTATAAGAGCGACCAGCTAATGTATTAAGATGCATTAAATATTGGAAATTATTTAATTCGCCTCGAAGCCATCGTTGTGTCACAGATTGCTGGCCTAAAAAATCGAAGCTTTAAATTATCAAGAATTATAAAATGCCACTTCAAGTAAATATAATTACCGATAATCGAATTTAAAAGAGAAACTCTGCCAGATTGTTCCACTGGCAATCCAGACCGTTGGCCACTGACTGATTCAATGCCACCATCTTTTAAAGCTTTTGCGAGGGAAATAAATCTGAATAGAATAAAGGAATGAATACAGAAAGTTAATGAAGAAATTTTTAGAGATCAAAAAATTATTTAAAATCGAGAAATTCGATTTATATGAAATAACGCACTTTTGATAGACTCTATTACGCATGCGTCTAGGAAACGCTAGGAGGTAATTTCGACCATCTGCAGAAAAAACTTCAATAGCGATAGGCTGAAGAAGATAACGTCGTCGATGAACTTCACGAATATCATCATATGAAAATTTACTGCACAAACGTGCTTTTCTTATAGGATGACTCGTACCACAAGCCATATAAGGGATGATTGGGTCATGTAATCTAAATTATTAACTTATAAATATGAGTTTGAGAGTCGCAAAAAAGTTAATAAATGAAGAATAAATAAATAAATAAAAAAATTAAAAAATCATAAATCGTAAATAAATTAGAAATGACTGGATAAAATGATTACTTTGGAAAATATAAGGCATTAAACAAAAAATTAAAGGAGTATAGTAGATTCCTAATAAGATAAAAAATTTTAATTTTAAATTTTAATTTTAAAATTTTATCTAATTTTTACTCTGGTGGAAGAAAATCAAGATCCCGGATTTCACGAGTTTTAAGCAATGTAAAACCATCAACAACATAATAATGTTCACGACCAAATAATAAGAGACCTTCGCTGGTGTCAAGGCCCTGAATACGGGCGCAACGAAACATTGAATGAAGTTGTTCGCCCCAAAAAAAAGTTAAAATTAACGAAATAGAAAAAAAATGTACATTAACAAAGAAAGACGTAAAAAACCATAGAAAACTTTTAAAAATAAAAATTACTTGTTCCAGAAGCCTTAAGAGAGTTTGATTGTCTGGACCGCGTTTTTGTTCAATTTTTTCTTCTTTGATACCGTTTTTTAAATCTTTTTTGAGATCAGCTTTTGAAGAAATATCATTCGATTCTTCGTTTTCTTCTTCATCAATATTCTCATTTTCTTCACCTGCGTCATCATCAATTCCATTGTTTTCTTTTTCCGAATTCGTTGTTTCACCATTGTCAAAGGGTGATTGCATGTTATTATGTTTGATAGAAACACGACGAATCATTGACGAGGAGACTTCTGAATAAGTTTAGGTTTTAGGTTTTCTCACACATCAAAAAAATTAAAATCATAGATTCTGAAATCCATTAATATTCTTAATTTTTTAGAAAATATGATACCAGTAAATTTTCTGAACAGATAAAATTTTAAAAATTTGTAGTTATATCTGTATCTAGAATAAATTGAGTTAAACCTTGCACATCTGCAAAAAGAAAATCGCTTCTTTCTTCAGATGGAGTATTAACCATAGCAGACAAATCGATTATTTTTGAATCAATCGTTTTGGCACGTCGGCGTTTCATGGCTTCATAATAAAATTTACTGTCTCGCGATATGGCCACTTTCACACGTAACGGTTTCTTTAAAAATTAAGTTGAAATATAAGTGAAAACATAAAATGAATAAAACTTAAAATATTTTAAAAAATTTTTTACTTCATTTTCATAGTGAATTTTCATATAAGTAAATATCTTAATGATATATCTAAGACCAAAAAGAAACAAAAAAACCGATTCCGGAAGATCGAGATGAGGCCGATACGGATAATGATGATAGAATGATGGATTCGGAATAAGCTTTCGCCTAATGCGACAAGGACCTTCAGTCATATCTAAAGTAAATTTGTCTAATGAAGACCCAACTTCTGGACCCCATATTCCACGCTCCCTAAAAATGGTTGACGATATAATCAATAATTTTTCCACTCTTTTTGTGCCATTTCAGAACACCAAGAAAATTTCATTTTGATAATCATAATATAATCATAATCATAAAATCAAAAATTTTTATTCATTTACCTTGTTAATTCCGATTCCGAAGAGTGCCATTCTTGTAGACACCATTTCCTTGTATGTGAATGCCATTCATGATAACTGACACATTGTGCGCTAACTAATTCTCGAATAAGAGAAGTATGAACTCTTATCCACATCAACACGACCTTAAAAACAAGTTAAGCAAATATATAGCTTAATTTTTTTTTGCATATCACTGATAATTTACCCCTTTTTATTAGCTAATTGACAGTAAAAAAAAACCTCAGCAGTAATATTCGGTTGCCGCCATAAAAATATAGATGAAGAAGAGAATGATGATGACGACATTCCTTTTCTACTAGTTAAACGTTGTAACCCACTGGCAACTTTTGTTATTTTCTGAAAAGAAAAGATTGAAAATATTAGTTTATTAAAAGAATTTTTCGTAAATACAAGTAGCAAGAATTTAAAAAAACCGATATCGATTAAATACCGATTGTATTTGTTGCTGAATTTGGCTGACATTTCTTATAGCTGTGGAATTCATTTGAGAATCAACAAACGTTAACCACTGAATGCTTGCTGCATGGGAAAGTATAGCACGCGCTGCATTTAATTCAGGAACAAACCCTCGACGAAATATATCTTCGAGAAGAACACGCTTAATCTCACAAACTTCTTGCCATACACGTGAAGCACATAGTGCAACCTAATATTACAGTCGTATTTTTTTGATGAGATTAAAGAATGAAAGACGGAATTCAATTCAAAAGTTGGATTAAAAAAAATTATATAATGTTAATAATGAAAAAAATTATAATGTTAATAATGAACAATAAAAAAGGCTAAAGTTATGAACTAGATATTATAAAAATTATTACCTGAGCGCTTCCATGATCAAGATTTGGATAGTCATTTTTAGAAAGAATATCAGGTGTAACAGATAGCATAAATAAAAGATGAGTAAGAGGGCCGAAAAATAAGGGATCATTATGCATTGGTGATAATACGATTGCTCGATTCTCAATAATTTCCGAAAGAGTATCGAGAATGGACATTTGCACTAAAATTATCAATATATGATTATGATTATTCTTGAATGTTAGCCACTGCAAATTGCAAATTAAGTAAAGAAAATAGATTTTTGATATATATGAATGAAACTGTACGAAGCATTTAAAAAAAAAAAATCAAAAATATGCCAAAATAAAAAATATTCCAGTTGCAATTAAAACAATGAATGGAACTTTTACCCTGAACGCTGTCTATAGGTCGACTCAAAAGATATAAAATTGTTCGATCAAGAGCATGCATTAAATTATCAGATGGTGATCCTTTACAATCAGATCGACGACACAGTGCTATTCCTTTGAAAAGAAAATCGAGCACGCGCGTAGGTTGACCAGTGTAGTACACTTGAAAGCTTCAGATTAATTATCTCGAAGTGCTATTTACAAAGTGAAAATGTTCAAATTATATGAAATCATCATTTATTAATTAAATTATAAATCAAACAATGAACAAACCACTCCAAAGGCAATCAACCAATCTTGATGCGAAATAAGCAAAATTAGGATAAATGATGTTCGACTGTATTTGAGTTGCTGATAGCGGGGAAGAAGGGCTGTTTAATTTTGTGCATGTTGTTAAAATATCTAAATTTTTATGAAAAAATTTGCAAATCCACGTAAACAATTAATTCTGCAACATAATGATAATGTGATCACCTCTGATATTGATATTGCAAATGTATTTAATCAGTATTTTTCTAGTGTGTTTATTGAGGATAATATTCATACTCCCTGTTTTAAAGTAAATCGAATTTGTTGCACTTCTCTCTGCGAGGTTGAAATAACACTACTGGATGTTTATGAAGCCTTAAATAGATTTAAGCCGTCCATTTCAGCTGATCCCGATAATATTCCACAAATAATTTATAAAAAATGCGCAGTCTCTCTGAGTCTTCCCCTATTTTTAATTTATAAAGATATTATGAAGTCTGGCTTTAATCCCAAAATTTGGAAATTGTCCCATATAGTTCCCATTCATAAAAAAGGAAGCACCTATGACGCTTCTAATTACAGACCTATTAGCTTAACATGTATTGGTAGCAAGGTACTTGAAAGGTTGATTTGCAACAAATTGCTTACTTATCTTGATGCCAATAATTTTATATCTTCTTATGGTTTTTGTACAAAAAAATCTACTTCTTCACGAATATTGGCAAATCTCTCTGATTGGTCAGCATCAATTGACAATGGAAAAACAGTATCAGTTATGTGCCTAAATTTGGCTAAGACTTTTGATACTGTTTCCCATAGCAAATTATTGGCCACTCTTAATAGTTATGGCATAACAGGGGATCTCTATAACTGGGTTTCAGATAAAAGATCGTTACCAGGCTGTATATGTTAACAACACTCTTTCTGACATGACACCAGTTAAATCAGGCGTACCCTAAGGCAGTTGTATTGCGCCATTGCTATTTCTATTATATATAAATGATATCACCACAGTGGTAATAAATTCTACTATTTATCTTTATGCTGATGACTGTAAAATTTATTATTCTCATGGTAGAACGGATAGCCTATCTCCACTGCAGGAGGACCTCAACAGAATAGCTGACTGGCTATACGACAGGCAAATTACCCTTTCCTTTCAAAAATGTAGCGTTCTTCACATCAACTCTAAAGGATTCGATCTTCCTAACCTTTTTATAAATGGTAATTTAATCAATAGAGTCTCACACATCTCCGATCTTGGAATATCATGGATGAAAATCTCGATTTCGATCTTCACTGCAGAACCATAGTAAAGAAATCCTCAAGGATACTAAATTTTATTCTTCGTTCGTTTAAGAACAAAACTGAAAGTTTTCTTATCAAATTGTACAAAGCATTCGTTCGGCCTCTTCTTGACTACAATAAAACATGTCACTCTCCTAGACATCGCAAAACACGTAAAATAATTCAGGTAAACAGGTAAATATTGAAGGACTCCAAAAATATTTTCTACGACGCCTCTCTCCTAATAAAAATTGTAATTTTAATTATAAAAGAACACTTCTACAACATAACATGGATTCTCTCTCAGTTCGTAGAATTAAACAAGATTTGATTTACACATATAAGATTCTGTATGGTTATGTTAAACTAGATTGCTCGAAATATTATAACTTTAGACTAAATTTGAATCCAACAAGAACTAATGGCTTAAAATTACTAAAACCTATATGCAAAACTAAACTAAGGACCCATGACTTCTTTATTCGTACTATTAACTACTGGAACAAATTACCGAACGATGTAGTTTGTGCGTCATCCTTAGCTGTCTTTAAAAAAAGACTAGATAATATCATTTACGATATTATTTAAAAACAAAAAAAAAGAATTTTACTTCGAATGTTACTTCGAATTGTACTACTATATTATATTGATCTGTAATTTCCTCTTTAAATTGTTAATTTTTGTCATATTGTTTTATAATTAATTTTGTTTATTTTTTTTTGTTTTCTTTTTCTGTTATCTTAACTGTTATTATTAATATAAGCACATGGCGTTGTCGCCCTGCTTGGCTGGTTATCAATAAATAAATAAATAAAATAAAAATAAAGAGATAATTAGTAAATTTGAATGGATATTTCAAGAATAAAATTTGAATGTTATTTCAAAAGTGATTTTTAACCTACAATCTCAGTAGTGAACCTTTTTCTTCTTACCTGTAGCAATAATGTGATCCATCGAAACAGTTATTAATTCAGATAATACAATACAATAATATCGTTTAAATGGTCCACATTCAGGAATTTTCTAAAATAACAAATTAATAACGATAATAAAATAAGACTGATAAAGGTTTTAAAAAAAACCTCAATAAGTGTATCCAGCAACGAATCCCATTTTCCATTACGACTGTGAAAAAGATCATTGCATAGAATTTTTTTAAGCAAATCTAAAACGCTTCGAGAACAAGGATTTTCCAGTACTGTAAAAGTTTTCTATTAAATAGATGAATAAGCATGAAATAAGGAGTATTTCACAATTCTCATCAAAAATATCCAGAAAAAACAAACAGCTAGGCATTAGAGAATTTTCTTGGCTAATGAATTAAATCTTAATGTGACTAATAATATAAAAAAAATCAGAATAACGAAAAGTCAGAGAAACAACTTTACCTGACTGTGCAGCACTCAAAATTGACGTAGCAACTTGATCCTCACTTTGTAATGCATTTTCACAATTACTTGGTGGAATTAATACAGAAAAAAGGCAATTAATGAAATCATCAGTATGGCAAAGAATGCAGAAATCTTTGGAATTCTGATAAAGAAATGATAACATTTGAATTACTGTAGATGAATAATGTATAATGGAAGCTGCATGATTCTGATCATGTTCCTAAAAACCGCAACAAAAAAATCAAGAAATATCAAGAAATATATCGCGCGTGAAGAATTAATAAGCTTTAAAATTTTATAAGAAATAATTATCTTTCATCTTACATGTAGAGTAGCTCGCACCATAGAAAATAGTGGAATTACGGCTTCACAACATAATTCAGCGCGAGATACAGCTTCGGATACAGAACTGAATAATTCACTATGATGAATAAAAAAAGTGAGAAACCAGTAAAAAATATTTGAAGTCATCGAAAAATTGTGAAAAATTTAGCATAAAACTATAAAGAACAAATGAGCTTGGTAACTTAAAAAATCAGATAGAAAATAGTATTACCTAGAGGGCGAAAGCCCAAATACATTAGACCAAATCAAATCAAGAGAAAAGTCATCAGCAAGATTTATATTGGTTACGGGCTGACCAACAAAAATGCTGAACATCGCAAGGTAGCATTGAGGCTTGTCAAAATGGCATGAGAACAAATGTTCAAGTACCGTGAAACCACCACATTCCGATAATTCTGGATTAATGTTGATATGTGCACCAATAGTTCCACAGTGCGCTGATACAGAAAATCCCAGTAATACCTTCAATTTTATGCAAAAGCCTATAGTAAAAGAAATACAATTAGACTTAAAAGACAAAAAAATCAAAGAAAAATATACAATAGATAAATAGTACCGCAACTCTATTTCGAACAACTGAATCAGCATCGGACAACCATCCACCATTAGAACTGCCTTCTTTGAACTTTTGTAACAAATGATCATGTTTAACTAGTTGCAAAAGAATTCGTATACCAATGATCAAGGTACTTTTATGAATCTCCGACATAAAAAGGGTTAATACCCAGTCAAAACCAAGAATTTTGACAATATTTTCGCTCATTCTGTAATTTGCGATAAAACTGGAACTAGAATGATAAAATTATGAAAAATTATTCTAAAAATTTGATGCTTCAAAAATAAAAATAAAAATCAATAATAAAATAATGTAATATTCTAGAAGTAAAAAGTGCAAAATAATATAAAGTGCAAAAATTTACTGAAGATTGTTATTTGGACTAGAATGTGCCAGAGTATTGGCAATGATATTCAAAATTCGATTGCGAATATAAATATCATATAATTTTCGATCAACTTCCGTGGTTTTATTATTCAATAGAAGAGCTTGCAGATCATTGACCGACATAGGATAAGCATTCTCATTTTTGTCTATACCAGAAGATGATGGTAGCGTTGCAGCGACTAACTGCCCAACCCTACGTAATAAAGACTGATAATATATGAATAATATATGGATGATAATATACTGATAATATATGAAATTAAATTTTTCGGTAAAAGTTGTGAGAAAAAAGTATACTTCAGAAGAGAATTGCTGTCAGAAGGTGGTTGCAAAACCGCAGCAATAAGATTAAAAATTATATCATTGACAGCAAATATCATCTGAGGTGAATCGAAAAGGCGGTAAAGCAATCTCGAAAATAAAGAGCTTCGCCGAATTATATTTAGATTTTCACGTTGCTGACTAAAAAACAAAGAATTAAGAAATCATTTATATTTTGTAATTCGCAAAATTCATATAAACATTCCCACATCTCTTACATACGATTAAATCCCACTTCCTATATCAACAATAAAAAAAAAAATAAACTCTGTTATTAATTCATAAAAATGTTCGTAAAGAAGTCGATTCAAATCATTATTGACATTTTTCCAAATGTCAATATCACAAAAAATATCTTCGAAAATCTGCATATTTGGGATGGTCGCTGTATCTTTGCTCGTATCAAGTGTGCCCACTAATGAAAGTATCAGATGAAGTATATGCGAGTTTAACAAATCACTCTTCTCTTCTATCAATACCGCCAGAGTCTATAATAACCAAGCTTATAAATCTGGTAGGAACTGAGAAATGGATTAAATGGATTATAGGTTTACACTGATCTAAGTTAAAATAAAAACTCGATCGATGTACCTGGTATGAGCGGCTAATAATGAGTTGTTTTGCAAATTTTTTATCAGTCTTAACTGCTACAGTAAGTGCCTTGAGAGAAGCATATAATTCCTGAGAACTTGTAGACATAGCGACAAGACCAAGCAGACAAGAAGGTCCACCGACAGATTCTAATAACTGCGTAACGGGACAAGGTACAAATGTTCGCATCCCTTAATAAGCTAGTTTAACAGAAATATTAGGGAAAAAAGAAAAAAAGAATAGAGAACCTACTCTTTAAAAAATCAACTGGAAAGACTGTCAATGGAAGGTATAAACTAACCAAGATAACCCAACAGCACAGCACCAAATGAACGAGCGGGGCCAGACGCATGAGAGACAGTATTCAAGAGAATTCGAAGTGGAGTACTTCTATCGTGAACGGAGATTCCAAGCTGCAAACTCAAAATTTTATAAATGAAAGGTTTTTTTTTTTCATTCTATATGTCAAACACTCACGTATGTAGAAATAAAAATACTATCCGCCTTATTATAGATCGATCCGATACGCGAAATTGACAACTCCATATCTGCTACAGGAGAAAGAGAGAGACATATGCGCTCTTCAGGGATTAGAGGTAATCCACCAAAATCGTTGATCTATAAATATCAATTTTGCCTCAAAGAAAAATGTTGAAAATGCAGAAATTTAAAATTGAAATTTCAGCTTTAGCCAAAATTTATCAGAATTAAGTTGTTAACACTTTTTTTAGACCATAAAAAAAGAATCAACTTGAAAATTCCCGATGTAATGTGGCTCTAAATGATAAATTCTGGAAATTGTATCTGCACTGAGAGTTTCTTCTATTAAAACAAACGATGCTATTTTGAAACGCAATCTATAATAATTTATATAGTTTTAAATGTGCACTTTTTACTTTTTATGTAAGTGTCAATTAAAAATTCGAAATGCTTTTTTTCCTTTAACTTCTTTACTTCTAATATACAAATAGGAAAAATGATGTAAATTTTGCAAATAAAAGTTAAATCGCACATACTGGCATTTTCAGATAGGCAAAATATTTGTAAATTTATAAACTTAATATAGAATATAAAGATAATTAAGATAGAAACCAACCTGCTAGGAGATCTGTACATCGGCAGTGTTCCAATTACAGCATGCACTCCATTTGTTTGAGTCAAATGAGTTGTAGCACCGCCAATATTTTGGACAATGTAGTTTAATTTCTGTGTACATTCCAAGTTACCATTAATATATATAAAAGCCTGAAAAGCGAAATAGATATTTAAAAATAAAATATGAGTGGATCTGTAAAGATAAGAAACAGTAAATCAAATAAATTCATGCCTGACTATGTTTGAGTACAGATCTTGTCAACACAATAGCAACATGAAACCACTGACGAGGACCAATTAAATCAGCAAGAGCCACCCTTACTAATGTTTCTTCAGTCAAATTCTTTTCTATTTCCAAATCATTTCCTGTTGTATCACTTTCCGCTGTGCAAATTAATAAAGATCGATCTATAGAGCTCAGCTGAAATTGTTGCAGGGAATCTATTAATAATAGAGAAATGAATAAAACTTGAAAAAAAAAATCAAAAAATCAAAATCAAAATCAAATTTGATTTTTTAAAAAAATCAAATTTCAAAAAAAAATAAATGAAAATATAAGACAAACTTGTATTGATAAACATGTTACAGAAGAAGTCTTCATAGCCTCATGTTTTTTAAGAGGATTATTAAATGACCTAAAGATTGAAAATAAACGAATAGGATGAGGATCAATTCTTTTTTCACTAAACTGTTCAATGTATAACCACCTGAAATAGGAAAAAAATGAAGATTCATAAGCAAAAAAAAATTTTGTAAATAAAATTCAAAAAAAAGTTATGAAAAATTTAGCCAAAAAAAGAATGTTTAAAAAACAACAAAAATCAAAATGAAATAAATGATAAAAAAACAAACGTTGCTATTGTGATACCATTTAATGATGGAAACAATCGTTCACCGTGACCAATTCCACCTAATTCAGGTGATATAGGAGAAAGCGAAGGTACCAACAAGCAAGCAAACCCTTCCACCGCCATATCAAATTCGACAAACGAAGGATTCTGTGCAATCATATGATCGCGAGGAGTCATCATTGAAACCAACGCTTTAACTCTAAAAATTCCCACCATACTTAAGAAATGACAAAGAACGAAAGAATGAAAGGTTGAAACAACATAATATTTTAATCTAAAAAATATTTAACCTTCCAATAGGAACAGGTCCACCTTCATTCCCATCAATTGGATCTTCATTTTCCGATTCTTCCAAACTTCGACAGCACAAAGGCATATCAAGTCGAAGAAAATGCCTGATATTCAATAGCATTCAAAATTCAACATCACAACATCACACCAGAAGAAAATTTAAAGGCGTTATAGTCAACCAAAGAACATTAACAGCATATTAATTTAATAGAAATAGAAATAAAACTAAAATTTCTCGAAAATATAGATAAAGATATTATAGATTTTTATAGAAAAATACGCTGCGAAATTTCATGCATAATTTTAACAAAAATAACATTCATAAATTTCCGGACCTTAAATCCGTCGCAGTTATCGCATGGGACGATAAACGTTCCAACATATAATAAAAAGAAGCAAGCAAAAGATGTTGATTGCTTTTGAAAATGAATTTTCCTATTTTAAGAATACTTCGTGCCATATTATATTGACACATGATTTGTTGATTTCGTTCGGGCCGCAAAAGTGCTTTTACTACCATGGAATTATATAGCTGAGCTGCTGCTAACCACTGAATAAACTTGAATGTTTTTAGAAAATTAAGGAGATTAAGGAGGAGAACTATTTAAATTTAATGAGAAAATCAGATCCTGAAAAATCTTAGAATTTGATTTAAATCTTAATAAAAATTTAAAAAAGGCTTTTCAAACCTTATATGACATAGACTTGATTGCAGGAATAAGATGTAAGATGGAAAGCAAAGCGCAAGGATGGACCAAAACACTAGATGTCCATGAAACAATAGAAGTAGGATCATTTAACGAGAACAAATTTGCTTCTTGAGACCAGACTATATCACTCTCAGGCCTTAAAAATGAAATAAAAATAAACGGAACAACATTTTTCTGACTAAAATTCAATAACTTCAAAAAGAATAACCTTACTTCTCATAATTATCAAGTGCGATATTAAACAAAAACCGCGCAATACAGCAAGCCAAAAATATTGATAGGGGCATATCTTCTGGCAAAACACTGGAAAAAAATTCGGTTAAAAGAGGCTTTATAGAAAATAAATTCCAACTGGCAATTCAAAAAATCTGTAAAGACAATAAAAACCTTAAATTGAAAGGTTCTTTTGACTGAAAAACATTATGACAGGCAGAAAGTTGTTCATGGAGATCTGATGGTTCAGAATTCCAAACATTATGTGTAGCATCAATGTATTCAACATCTTCATTAAAAGCACCGCTTATCCGAATAGCTATACAAAGGTTGTCCCACTTAATCTAAATATGTCAATAAAAATAAAATTTAATATAATTCTTTAACATAATAAAATTTCTTTGTTTAAATAAAATTATAAATTTAAATTTGAAAATTTGAAAATTATAAATTTAAATTTGAAAATCGGAAAAAGCAAAAAATTGTATTTAAACTTCTTATATCTTTTGAAAAAACTATACATCTTGAGAAAAATGCTTTGCATTGGATGGTTCGTATCGCATACTTATAGCCAAAACTTTGAAAATTAGCTCAATTAATTCCATCATCGATGAAATTCCATTCAAGTTAGTTTTTGACTCGTTTGTTGATAAATATGAACCAACTGTATGTATTTCATTGAAATTTCCTTCAAGATTGATAAGCATCGACATCAAACATAGGTAACCACCAACGCGACGGAACATTATCCTCACTTTATGACTTTCACGCAATATACAAAGTAAAGACTGAAATCTGCTATATATAATTCTTATAAAATTCTTGAGAAAAAGCCAGTTATCAACATATATGAAAAAAAAGAAAAAAAGGGTACAAGAACCTTTAGAAGAACGAATTTCAATTCTAAATTAGTATTGGATGGTGATTGTAAAATAACAAATAAAGCGGATAACTGCTCTTCACTATTATTCAATATTAAAAGCTGTTTCATGAGCTGAAAATAAAGAAAATTTATGAAACAAAGCCAATAATATGCAAAAATTTTCTAATAATAAATAAAGGAGAAATTAAAAAACAATAAATTATGCTCACTGAATACTTTTTCTTTTGCTAATTTTGCAATTCCTCTGGTTAAATTATTTTAAATTATTAAACTGTTTTTTTTTATAGATAATTGAGAGAATAAGCTGAGGGAAATATTTTTAAATATTTTAAATATTTTTTACTCTTTGCTTATGAATTTTTTCAATCTTTCAACTCATTATTCTCATTTTCTCATTTTATTTTCATTTTTTTCAAACATCAGTTTCAAAATATAAAAATATAGAAATTCAATTGGCTACATTCAACTTTGATTAAGAGGATATGACAGAATTGAGTTGTTAATAAATGGTGATACCTGAAGTGATGAAGCTCGCCAATCTTCATCATCGCTGTATATAAGATCGAGAATAAATTTGGGCCCAGCAATTTCACGGAAAACTTCTAAAAAAATCATATATATATATATATGTATACATAAATTAATATTCAAAATTAACCTTGCGATATGTAAAAATTAGGAAATAAAATAAGGCAAAAAAATTAATTTGATACAATTTTTATAAGAATAATAATATAAACATACTTACTTGCATTGGCATTTTTACCACTAACAAGAATTGATAAAATATCCGTACTTAAAAGAGCTATTCGATGTTCATTTTCTGTTAAGCGACGATCTCAAAAAAGAAATCTCAAAGAAACGATACTTTTCACACTAAATTCACATTAAATTAATTTTACAAATTTAAATAAGGACAAAAGTTTAAGAAATTAAAAAAAATTTGAAATTCAAAAAAATACCTTTAATTACAGATTTAAAATAAGAAATAGTCCACGTAAACGTTTCAACCAAACCAACTTCACGAAATGCATCTTTCAAAATAGAATTTGCCGAAAGAATCCTACAACCATAAATAACTGAAAGATGGTGTGCTCATGAATCTCATCGAAAAAACCTAACAAAAGTCCAGACCATTTTAAATTCCAGTTGCAGAAAAAGTAACTGGTAAATAAATAATATTATCAACTTTACAAATAAATCAAGAAAAACAATAAAGAGCAAAAAAAGCAAAAAAGCAAATTTATAAAAAGCAAAAACAATAAAGATTTTAAGAAATTTTCGACCTTAAGGATCTCCAGAAATTTTTATTTTTCCAATGGAAAGAAATTTCTTTAATATTTCATGTAAAATCACTTCCGTTCTTCTTAAAAATTTAAACTTAATTTGATTATCAATAACCATATTGTCCTAGTAAATCTTCTAAATCTTCCTTTACTTATAATAAAATTATCAAAGTTTTAACCTGAATGCAGTTTGAAGAGAAAATAAACAACAATCAAGATTCCCCTCAGATATTTGAGTTTTTAAAAGAACACTGAGAGTCATGAGCTCTTTGCATGGTATATGGTTTAAATGAAAAACAATATATTCAATAAGTTCCAACACTTTTTTCTACAAATTTATTGAACACAATTAATTCAATTTTAATTCATTTTTGCTTTAAACTCTTCATTGAACCTTTTTTTCTTTTTTAAACCATTTGATTATTTCATTGGAAAGATGGAACTTTTTCGCAAGAGAGTAATTTTAAGGATAGAAATATGGGTAGATTCTTAGCAGTACCTATTTTTGTTGATAAGTTTTTTTCCCATCAACAAATCGAATTTATGACGGCTTAATAAGAATTAAAGCCTAACAAAGCATTACTGTCTAATCCACTTTTTCTTTAATATATACTATTTACTTGCACTTTTGCCGATTTAGTAACCATATTTTCGATTATTGATGATAAAGGACAATCCTTTTCCATGATAAAATAATTTGCAGCATCAGAAGCATAAATATTATGCAAAACATCAACTGTAGTTTCAACAATACGTTCATTCTTTGCCTATAATTTAACACTCACTTGATTCAAGAGCAAAAATTTTTTAAATGCAATTAAAGATAATATAGAGGTTACAATTGTAAATAAATAATCCTCAAACAAATACTGAACAAAAAATCGAAAAAATACCTTCCAAAAGATTTGAAAAAGTGCTTTGCATGCATCAATATTTCGCACACTGACGCCATTGCCAGAAGGTAAAGGTAACTGAAATGATGGAAGAGTGACCAATCCGGGTGACACTGATGGATGAATTTCACATACACCCGAAGTAACAACACTCATCAGCATAAGCAGAACATTTCTAATACCTTCTTCTCGATTTTGATTTCTGCAAATAATTTTACAAATTAAAACAATAACAATATGTTTTCTTCAAAGATCTAAGATAAAAAAAGACATACGCGAGAATAAAATCTTGAAGAAATTCATATCCATTAGCTTTATTAAAATCTTGTATAATGACATTAGTAACAATAGCTGAATCCTTCAGAATGCACAATAAACAGATAATAACCTCAATTCCTTTTTGATCAGATAAATGATCAGCTTCTTTTTGAATATTCAATAAAAAATGATGAATACAATCTTTGGCTAAAAAAAAAACATGCAATTAAATATACCTCACGAACTACAGGGTAAGATTTCAATGCTAAACCAACCATGTAAATATTTGATAACAGCTGGAGAAAGCGCTTTTGAGATCAAAGTAACAAGAATTTGAGATGTGACTTTTCGCCAAGCAAAATTCTCTATAGAACAAGCACATGAAGAACCTATGAATAACAAGAAAAGATCATCCTTCCGAGCCAATTCTTCACCAACAGATTTGTAACAACATAATTTATCCATCACCTAAAACTTTATTAAGATTTTTTCTTTTTTTTTGCTGAAGGCTAAAAAAAAAGCATTCGACCTACAGACAAACAGAACTGTCTTTGAATCCCTGAAAGTCCTTAACATCTCATTATGTTCCCATTATAATCTTTGGAATACCGCCTATTTTTATACCCAACGAATCTCTCCTCCTTTCCTATTATTGTTCCCTCTCCCTAACGCCATCCAATTTCTGTTATATTCTTTCGATACACCTATTAATCAATCCCTCGTGAATTTGACAGACATAACAAAAATGCAATATGAGGTTTGCCTTAATGTGATAAGCCTATGTGGACGTTGCCAAGAAAAAGTTAAAAAGGATATGGAAATTTAAAATAATCATATTACTAAGGGATCATATTAAAAACATATAATGGCACATGGGATTTCAAGAGTGTTAAGGAGTTACAATCAACCAACGTAAGAATGCTAAGGAGGTACAACCAACATAAACCAACGGTTTCTTCTTTTTCTTCTAACAGCTCTCACTGTTACTGGTTAGGCTGGCTTCGCTGGCTACAAAGGTAAGACTTCTTCAAGCTGTTTATTCCAATGCCATCGCCAATAGCAATAGAATCCATTCTTTTTTCCATCATCGAAGTCCATACATCGCTGGTCCCTCTATACATTCAAAATCTATCCTGATTGTATCAGCCCAGATTTTGACTGGACTTTCTCGCTTTCGAAGCCAACCACCACAGGATTCGGCAAGTAGCGGAATATGCGTCAATTCCTGTGGTGGATGACGAGGAATGTAACCAGCGAAGGTAGATACAACTGTGCGCGATTTTATCCAAAAAATGTAATATCTTAGATATGAGTGGTATCATATTAAAAGGATATGATGGAGCTTGGGATTTCACGAGTGTTACGGAGGTACAACCAACGTTCCGAGGAAGTTTTCAAGAGAACACATATGGGTTTGAAAGGGCGGTTATGCCAAATAAATGATGAGTTGCGACAAAAAACAATGGGGATTGATTAGAAGTTAAAAGAAGACAACTGGATTTGGGAAGAATTAAGAAAACCTTTGATGAGCATGGCAGTTGTTGGAAGACAAATATGAATTTTTTTTCCTAGAGATTTATTCCTTGCAAATTGTTGTTGAAATGTGGATAATGCTTCCTATTCATAAAATTCAATCAGCTACTATGTAATAACTTAGTAATAAACCGTTTATTTTATTTCTCAAAAATATTTCTTCATTTTGAAAAAGAACACACCGAATATCAAAAATACAATTTTACTTACATTTAAAAACAGGGAATGCAATTTTTGACGAGCTTTTAGAATGGATTTATCTTGTACCACAGGCAAATCGAAGAATAAATAAAGAGCCTTGACCAGCGTAGAAGGAAGTGCAGCTTTACATATCGAATCAATTACTGCTGGTTGATCACTTAAAATCAGAAATTTTTCTAAGATAGAAAAAGCAATAAAATGAATGATTGAAAATAAATGTTTTAATGTTTTAATGTTTTAATGTAATTAAATAATATATTTTTTAATATAAGCTTATAAAATCCTCTTTTTCAGTGAATAAAATTACTCGAACATTTCGAAAATCAGAACAAAAAAATTTCCATCTCTACTTTTATCGCTCAAGGTCCAATGCATTGGTTCTTGAACATATTATATAAGTTAAAACTGCTGTATATTGCGAAAAAAACACTAGAAAAAGGTTACGAACGTTGAAATAATATAATGGACAGAACTGAGAAGAATCCATCCACGAGAATCGGATGTATCTGGCAGCAAAAACTGTGAAATTGATAAAGCCGCTAATTCAGTATTTTGGTTTGCAGCTCGTATACGTAATTCTTGTACTAAATAACGACATAAATGACCAGTAAAAGCGCATAATTCTTTAAAATTATCGACGATTTCTTCAGCACATGGATACATACACATTACCTAAGAATTTTAATTATATCATTAATGTATTACAAAAAAAGAAATTTTTTAATCTCATTATTAATTCCCATTTTTATTTTATTTGAATTTCACAACAAGCTATGCCAAGATTAACATCAATTTTAGATCTTATGCAATATATAATTATATAGAAAATTTTTCAGTCATCCTTTAGTAGAGCAATAAAATATAAATAAAAATTTGAAATAAAAATTTAGTCATCATTTGAAAAGAGCAAATTAATTAGATTAATAAATTTTACATTTCAATAAAAAATTAATTATTCATGAAAAGATTAGAAAACTGGCACGATGCTTCGCCAGGTACAAGTCACCATTCAGTTTCTCTCCTTTCACCGAGGCAACCTGTTCCAATAAGTGAAATTCGGCTGTGCTGGGAATTTTGAAAACTCCTGCTTAAGTAATTCTCTAGCGTACCATTCTTAATAGCCAAACAGCTAAGTTTAAATTGGAAATGAATTTTGATAATTAAAAATTAACCTTGGAAAAAAGTGGCAGAATTCGATCGAAACGACGCTCGCTATCTTTCTGCCCATTCAGGGATATTTTGCAATACTCACTAAAGGTTTTCCTCAAGTGCAGTAAAGTTAAAGAACGATCGGCTTCACTCATTTCAGAATTCAGCTATTTTTAAAGCCTTTAAATTTTATGATATTAACATTTTAATTTTAACTTGGAAACAAGTCTTAATTAATAAGAGATTTCTAAACAAATTTTCCTTACTCATTAAAATCCCTTATAAAAAATATTTAAAAAAAAAAAGATTTACAAAATGCGCAAGAAAATTTAAAGTTTTAAATAAATTTTTAAATAAGTGAAAAATAATCAAACCTAAAAAAATAATGTCTAATTTGTTTCGAAAACATTTCGGCCATTTTCTTGTTCAATGAGATTTCTAAAATATTCCTTTATACTGCTCCTGAAATTATTTATTTTTTTGGCTCCTTTCGCTCATTTCAACAGCGCTGACAAGAGATTATTCTCTTCCTTCTTTCCCTTTCCGCCTCAACCTTTTTTCAAATTTGCCTTTTCATTACTCTATTCTTTTCTTTTATGTGTCGCAGTGTTGTTTCAACTTCGTTTCGCACCCAAATAACTTTTCCTCATTACTTTCCCACATCGTTTTACATGAATGCCCAGAAATATTTTTACAGCAATAATTTCGAACTGCTGATGACCAGAAAATAATTCAAAAATGCTTCTTACAGAATTAAAAAATTTCAGCAATGATTCGGTCAAAAAAAACGAACAGACAAATGGAGAAAAAAATAAGGGAAACAGTGAAAAAACTGAATAAATTACGGTTAAAAGCTCAAAGAAAAGAATAAAAATATCTAAAAGAACTAAAATAATTGAAATAAAAAATCAAAATTTATGAAATAAAATTTTTCTTAGAAATTATTTCTTCTATTTCCAGAGAGACGAAAAAAACGCGCGCGCAATTTTCCTTCCATGTTTAATTTCTTCATCAACCAAAAAAATTTGATTCAATTTTTCTTTTTTTCGATTTCCCTTCCATTTTTCTCTTTTAAACGATGTTTTTGATTTTTCTAATGCGAAAATGTTTTTTTAACTAACGAAATTAATTAGTTAAATTAATTAGTTTTAATAAATAATAGTTAAAATGAAACAAAAAAGGCGAATCGTAGCGATTAGAAAAAAATTCGAGAAATTTCACTTTGTTTTCCCGTTTTAAAATTTTAATTAACGCGAAAAATCTCTTTTCAAAACTCCTTCACGAAACGATTTACAAAAATGAAAACTTTTAATAAAAGTGAACAATTTAACATAAACTCTCCATGCAATTTCTATGCAGTACAATTCCATGATCCAATAAAAAAACAAATAACAAAATTTTCGGACGCGATCGCGTCTGCGACGTTGCTTCCGCACGCTGAAGCTATTTAGCGGATCAGACTCAATCTGCGTTTTTCGTTAGGGAAAAAAAAATTTCGACTAGTACTTTCTCATTCTTTCTCCTTCATCAGTGCTCACCCACAGCGGTATCCATTGCCGATTGTTGTGCTCGCATGGAATATAGATGCACATCGATCGCCAGGACCGACCGGGTCATTTTTCTTTTGCATGGCAGATTTAGTTTACTGCTGTCAAGGAGAGGGGATTAATGATGGCATTCACCAAAGCGCTTTTACTTGTCAATTTTGCTAATTTTCCTTGTGAATAATAGGGATCGTAGTTCTATTTTTGATTATTCCGCAGCGACACTCACTTAGAGTAGCGTTGCGGAGAAATGGAAATGAAAGGGCACCCATAGAACTATAAAGTTTTTAGAGGTCCTGGTGGTGCACAAAGCGGTCTACGAATGAAAGAAGAGCAGGGGCTCAGTTCGCTCGCAAATTGGATAACCAACTCGCAACTCGTATCGAATATGAATATGAATATGTAATAAAGAGTTTCCCATTCCCCATGTATTCTTAATTGGCATTTTCGTTTAATTTTTACAAATTGGAGAAATATTAATTTTTTCTCAGTGAATAATTTAAGAAATTATTAGATTATTAGAAAAATTCATTAAATAAATGAACAAATACACTGAATACAAATAAAACTTTATCTCTAATAAATTATTTTTAAAATTAACCATGAAAATCAATTCTTATTTACCATTATAATTAATATTTTCAGTACAATTATCTTCCCTTCTTCAAACAATGTTCAGCTGCTTTCAGTTGCCTTTATTTGCCTCTAATGGCTGTTGAGATGAGAACCTTTCGCATTAGAGTTACTTGCGAACAGGAAGAGCGGTAAATCTACCAGGTTTCACTTTTAGTCAGCCTGGTTTGAATGTTCGATCATCCGCAGAGTTCCGTGCATTTTTTCTGTGCCATCTGCTGTAGATACTTTGTGGCAAAACGAAGAAGACGCTTTCCACCCGCACAGTGGATTTCGCAGACTAAGGCAACGCACTAACATCATGTTCTAAATTCGCATTGCAGTCTTACTCGACTTAAATCACTATTTTGAATTTTGAGAGAGAGATAAAATAAGTTTTGCATAGAATTATCCATTTTTTTAAAGAGTGCTCGCCATTGCTGGTTAGTCTCGCTTCTCTGGCTTGTCGCACTGGACAAATGTGCCAGGGAAGGGAAGCCCTTGATGAAAGAAATACAGGTGAGTTGCCAGCATCACCCAGATTTTTGGACAGGTTTAATCCTGACGAGGGTGGAGCCTCAGCATGGGCGTTCGGAATTGAGCATCAACCCACTGAGCCATCCTTTGTTTTTCTCCGTTGCGCCTGACAAAAAATGGTGTATCGGCGGACAGACAGAATTATCAATACAAAGAATAAAGTAGGATTTTCATAAAAAGCTTTTTAAAATTTAAAAATTCCTTATAAACACGAATGAATTAATTTTTCGATTAATGCGTTATTCTTTATTAAATAATTTTTCCAATAATATTTTTTATATTCTATTTACATTTTCTTTGCAACAATAATTAAATATGAAAAATTTTCATTTCTGAAAAAAATACCAAAGTTTTTTCCAAAATAATAGAAAATTTATTTTTATTTATTTATTCACTGAGATTTATTCAGAAAATGAAATTTTATAAAAACTTTTCCCTCATTTTGCGTGTAATTTGGCTCACATATGTAACAGCAATTTGCTTCGTTTCGCATAATTTTCGTTTCGTTTTAATTTCTATAAACAATGGAAATGCAAATGATAAATTGGAAAGCGGTAGAATTTCGATTACAAATACAACTTTTAAACTCATCGAAGGTTTATTTCAATTATATTCAGTTGAAATTCGATAATGAAATTTCAGTCCTTTTCCTCCTTAAACTATTAAATAAAATTTAAAGTAAATTTTATTGTGAAAAATCGATTATCGTTAATACTTGTCATTTCAGATTTTAGCAAATATGTTTATTTTTAATCAAAATATTTTCACTTTATAAATTTATAAATTATCGTAAATAAATAATAAAATCTTATGTTTACAATTATAAATAATTGCTTTAAACCATAAAATTATTGTAAATCGTCAAGTGAAACTCACTGAATTGGAAATTGGAACAAATAGTAAATTATAAATAGTGAAATAATGCGAACCGTTTCGCTTCATCGATTCGTGACGAGGTTTGTGACTGGGGCCGAGAAAAAATTTACTCGAAACTATATGAAAAGTGCTGCACTGTGGTCGTGGATTTGATTTAGTTTTGTCTGTTTTTTCTTTGTCTGTTAAGCGATAAAAGAATTTTGAATAAGAGAAAAAAGCGAAAAAAAAATTTTCGATAAGAGAAATTACCAATACCAAAATTTTGAAAAGAAAAACTGAGGGAAATAAAAAAAATTGAAATTTATGAAAATTTTAAGAAAAATTAAATAGATAATGGAAACGAGGAGAGAGAAACATTAAAAGCACTCATCGATCGCAATAAAATTTCTGGATGAGCGTTGAGAAAGTTGAAATGCCGAGAAACAAGCTTCTTTCCTCGCTAAACCAACCGCTAAGACTTCGTTCATCGATTGCGATAATATTTCTCATAGAACTTCTTTTTTATAAAAAGGCATTCTTTCATGAACTAAAGAATAAGTGGTTAGGAAGGTGAAAAGATTTCGCTTGGGGATCAACTTCGCGAGAAATGCAGGTGATTCAGGAGTACCACACGGATTTTTTAATGAAACTTTTATAAGACATCTTCAAGCTGTTTGATCCATCGCTAGTAGTAATAGAAGCCATTCCTTTTTCCATCATCTAAGTCCATATATAGCTGGTCCCCCTGAATGTTCAAAATCTTTCCTGACTGTAACAGTCAAAGTTTTGATAGGTACTCCTCATTTTTGAGGCCAACCAACACAGGGTTCGGCAAGTAACGAAATATACGACAACTCTTGTGGTATACGATGGAGACCATGAAACGTTCCCTAACTAGCGAAGACGACTTTTTGTGATAACATTAATACAGGTGATATTTTAGCGAAGGTGGATACAATTGTGTGCGATTTTATCCTCTCGACGGATCCGTAAAAAATATCTTAGACATGAGTGATTAAAGGCTGATAGTTTCTTAATATCTTCCACTCTCATTGGTCATATTTTGCCATATAGCAAGATCGAGCGAATAGTATAGGGACGCGGATTTTTGTCTTTATGGTGATTTCGTGACGGTTCCATAAAGGTTTCATCAACCGGAAAAATATGTTTCTAACTGTTGTTATCCGAGTAACAATTTCATCCTTTGTTTGGCCATTTGGGATTAGAGTGGATTCAAGATATTTAAAGCCGGGCACTTCCTCACAGAATTTCAATGAATTGATAAAAGTAGGTATTTTATCAGCATCTTATATATAAGACGAAAATACTTTCGTTTTATTTATATTGATTTTGAGTCCAATTTTTCTGCAATTGTTAACACATTGTTTAACATTATTTGCAATTCATTATAACAAAAATGACTACATCATCAGCGTATTCAAGCTGATGCTGTGCTCTGGACTTGAATGCCGACAAACGGTGTCCATTATCCAATCTATCGCATAGTTGAATACTGTAGAGGAAAGGAAGCAGCCCTGAATACTAGTTCTATTTCGGAGTTTGTCAGTTCCCCATAGGCACATATCTGTGCGAAGGTATGCTGATAAAATGCCTTTGTGAGATGAATGATCTTCTCTGGGACATTCCAACACTTTCCAGAGCGCTGCTCTATCAAGGGAATCGCTGCAAAATCGATAAAGCAAGTAAGTTGTGATGTTCCACCACCTTTCTTAGCGCAAATATCTGGTCAGCACAACCACGTCCCAGTCTGATTCCAGCTTGGTTAGTGTATCTAGCAGAAGAAAAATAAAAACTTTTCCGGAGATGACTAGTAGGCTGATTCCTCAGCAGTTGTCGCAGTACGTCCTATCACCTTTCATAGGAATGGGAAGCAGAATTGCTTCGCTCCAATCATATATTTGTTGAAGGTGAGTTATGAACGATGGTGGGCAACATTTGAAGAGTTCGGCCCGAAGACCATCTTCTTCGGGAATTTTAAACTTAAACTTATGGATTATAGAGATTATTTCCTCTTTTGTTGGCGGTTCGCAATTGCAAGCGTATGGATCGATGTGCGAATCAGTTATATTCGGGACAACATATGGATTAGAAACTCAACATCGATATTCCAAAATGAGCAACAATCTACTGAGCCATTCCATTCTACGTCCCTTGAATTCTCCGTTAAGTGACATTGCTGACGAGGCGTGGTGCACTAGTAAGATTTGAAAGAACGCAAGTCTCCATTTTTTCTGGCAGTTATTTTATTTGTTAATTAGTTGAACATTCAATCGAAAATTTCAACTTCAAAAGTGAATTTTTTTTTAATAAAAAATTTAAAATATATAAAAAATAATTTTGTGAGAGTGTGCAAAAACGATTCTTAATTTATCAATATAATGATTTAATCATATTTAATGACTCGGTCATTGCTTATATTCATCCATTAAACAACAACTCCCGTCACTGGTACCATCTGCTTAAATAGATGGACTAAACGACATACCTCTCTGTCCATATACCATTTTTTCGAAAGCAAAACCAAAATTGAATTATAAATAGAGAAAATGAGGATTAAATCGAAAATTTTAAAGTGCTAATGAATATTAAAATTTGATAATATATTTTAATTTATTAAAATAAAATGAAAAAATTTATTTAGCGTCAATAATTTAAAAATGGTAAGAGTTCGGTCCCCAATCCCATTAGGATAGCCATTAAACCTGTCACGTAAAAAGCCTGGTCGGCGCTGGCGACCCATCTATATTTCCATCACCCAAAATGATTCCCAGGGGAAATATTCTCATTATTTAACAAACGAATTCGTTAAGGAAAAGAACATATTTGCGGTGTTCGACTATATTTCGGAGATTTTACATCGTAGTTTCCAATAATAATTGTTGTCGCTCGTTTCACCCAATTTCATATTTTTTATAAAATAATCGACACTATGCAAGAAATCTATGAAATATGGTTTTAAATCTTTAAAATTCAAATATTCGTGGCGATTATTAATTCTTAAGAATTTAAAGGGGTCCACAGGAATTTGAGACTCAGTCTGGCGTACCTATAGAGTAATTAAATTCATCTTCATTATCCAATTTATTACCTCTCATTGCGTTTTCCAACTATGCCAATAAATATGCTTACAACAATAATGTATATTTTCCAACTTTTTCAGCAAATTTCATTGTTGAAATTTCCATTTCAGAAATTTACAATCAGCAAAAAAAGATTGAAAAGCTTATTTATAGCGTAAATGAAGTGAGTGTCATGCATGAATATATACGATGAACAATGAACGAGTCGAACCAAAAACAGTGAATGGTTTACCAAAAAAAGGAAACACTGCAACACCACTTACCTTAATAACTGCTATTCATCCAAAAATTCATTGTTTATTTACTATTGCTTAGGATACTTTCAAATCCATCCAAAACTCAGTTTTTTCCCATTTCATTCATTCATCTTCGTTTTAATTGCTGGATTCCATATAGGAAAATATACACAAATTTTACTCGAAATCACTGCATTTTTTATGAAAAAGTAAAATTGAATTGAAAATTCAATAAAAGCAATTAAACAATTTATTGAATTAAATTATAAAAAAATTACAATATAAAAGCCAATTCACTAAAAAGTAACAAAAAATCCACAAAGAAAATTCTTCAATGAATTATTCAATAAGAATGAGTCAATTTATTTTCCAAAAAAACTCCCTTGAAAAGAATCCTTAGTGTTGCCCATACCCGAGGTTTCATTTTCATGATAATTAAATGTTATATGCCCTTTTCACTCATTTTTAAGGGTCGTTAGTTTGCATGTAGGAAAAATCTTAGCAAATTATGTAAATTTTGTAAGATTGCATTTGAGAAAAAAAATGAAACCAATATTTTTAAAATTTTTTAATCTAATCTCTACGGTATATATCGATAGATATAAGAGAGAGAAAAAGCAATCCCCAATAATTTTTGAGAGTTCAAAAAGGTTCACGGGAATTTGAAGGTCACTCGACCCAAAGTACCTATAGAATAATTAAAAACGCTGACAAAAAAAATAATGAGGTAGACTGATAAAAACGCGAAGCATACCGGTTTTCCTTAAATTTCCTACAATATAAAATATCAGAATTGCAATAACAAATGTGGAAAGTGTCAACTTGTAGCCTTTGAACGAATTTCGGATTTAATAAATTCGCAAATAACTGGATTGGAAATTTGTGATTCAATTTCATTAAGTATGTGGTCAATATGTCGATGACTATAATATGATACAAGCTTAGTGCCATATTCGATCCAAACACAATTTGCACATCCACTACCACAACAAGACAATGGACCAGGTGGTTCAGGTGGGCTAGAAATGCACCGTCGTTCACCAGGAACCACTGTTTTTATAAATGTGCATGATGCTTTTTCAGGCATTCCTTGATTCTTATCGCAAGAACGCCTTATCATTAATAAATTCAGAAACGAACTTCGAAAATTTTTTAAAATCGCATATTTTTCCATTTTCCAAAATTACCTCAAAAAAAATCAATTATTAATAAATTTTGAGAATCCCAGAACTACATATTACTCAAAAATTCACGCAACTAATCCAAAATAAGACTTACTTTATTTCCCAAAATATTGTTACCTTCTCTAAAATTTCGTTAAAGGTATAAAATAAATAAATAATCGAAATACGCGATTATATAATAAATAATGAATAATGACATTTACTTTATTCCACAAATATATTAACAAAAAATCTCAATTTATAATCTCAATGTATTTATAAATTTGAAAAAAGAAACAGTAAATAATAATAGTAGGCAGTTGGCTGAAGTTAAGCAACAATGAATGAGTTCAAACAAAATACCTTCTAAATTTTTAAAAATGGAAAGATTAACAAGAAAAAAATTTTGAGGTGTAATGCAGTTATCATTATCAATAATGAATATAATGAATAGTTTGACTAAGAAAAACATTGCTGATAAAAAATACTGGACTTTTTAGAATTAGCAAGACAATAACTTGTCTGTTTGAAAAGGCATTAATTTCATTTATATTTTAGTAAAAATAAGGAAAATTATAAAATTATATGAAAATAAAAGGAACAAGAATTCGTTCATGAAGACGATGAAAACTGATAAGACTATGAATAAGAATAACTGAGAAGAAAAGGAAAATGTGCTGATAGCAGAAGCCACAAGTAACAGCAGGAAATAGGGGGCATCTGTAATTTGATATAAATATAAATAAACAGAATCTTGCAGGTTCATTAAAATCGTGGTGAGAAATATTTTTTGCCTCAAACCTATTAAACATATGCATACACAACATAAGGTGGTTACAACAGCTACATATAGTATTTGTCGAACTTCCGTAAGGATTTGAAAAATTTAAAATCAACGAAACTATTTACTTTGTGAATCTAATTTAAAACTATGCAAAATTCCATCACTATTAAGAAATATTTATTCGATTAACCTTTCCCTCTCCTCATTTCTCCTTATCTAAAAAGGAAAAACACATAATCACCAAACACTATCATCTACCATCTTTGGCAACCAGATAAGATGGAAATGCGAAAGAATCTTTACCTACAAATCTTATGGGTTATTTGATATCTGAGACCTTTAAACAAACACAAAACGAAATGATCGGTATATGGCAAGAAGACATTTTAAAAATTAAATTATTAAACGCACAAGAAAATTTTAGATTATTTTACAGGTGATGAATGAAATCTTAAAACTTTGGATCAAATTAATATGTGGCTTAAGTACTTGGCTATTCTAAACACTAAAGATTAGTTTAAATTTATAATCGTATAATTTCCCCTGAATTATTAATTTCATGTTAATTCTATCGCAAAAATCGAAAATAGGTTCGACCCCAATTTGAAAAACTTTATTTATTCACCGAAATTTTTGTACTTCTCATTATATAACCATTATAAACGAAAACCCATTAAGAATTCTTTTATTTTTACTATATCCTTTTACTCTTTATCCTTGTCCTTTTAATAACTGAAAATGACCTTAATTCAGCAATATCATTAAAAGTACCCCGAAAACTTTGAAAAAAGAATAAACTCTTTTTTTCTTTGGCCATCTATTAAAATTATCTTTCATCAGCTATTGGTTACATAATAACATATCTATCTGAACAGGCATAAAACTTTTATTGTTTAAATAAAGTAACAAAAATTAGGCTATTTTGAAACTAAAGAAACTATTGAAGATAATAATAACAGTCAAGGCTAATTTACTTATATTTCCCAAAAAATGCTAAAAAAAATATCATCCACAGCAAATTCTTGCGATACAATCGGTCTACCATGAAAATCTACCATGAAAACCTAACAGGTTCAAAGAAAAAGCTTAAAAAATAAAAAATTAAGCAATGGGCTTATAAATACAAAATTCAAACAAATTACAGACCGCAGACTATTTTCACTTGTCTAAGTAAAAAAAAAAGAAAAATTTTTTTAAAATCCTTAATTTTGTTTTCTTCTCAAAATAATATCAAATTTCAATAATCAATATTTAAATCAAAATAATATTTATAATATTAATAATATTTAAATAATAATCTTAAAATTACAGGACTATAAATAAATGATAGTATAAATTCTCCTAAGGAAGCAAAGATTTTTGCAGTCTGTTTAGAACGGTTTCTATTATATTATACATATTATACAATCAACACATAAATATTGCATATTATTTGTGCAAACATAATTATGATGAATAAAGAAACTTCTCAAAGTCGAAGTGATGAGGTCAAAACGGCTGTATAATAAATTTGATTTTATGTTGTTTGAGTATGTGGTAAAGAGTATCGTACTAAATCAGGCGCTGCACTTCGAACTTCGTCGCTATATACCTGAAGAATAAAATTAATAAAATCTCAAAAATATATACAAGTTTCAACCTTGAAATTTTATATATGAAATTTTTTTATATATGAAAATATATGTATGTATATGAAATTATATATATATGTATATGAAATTCATTACTGCAGTTTCATATAATTTTAAATAAAATCCACTTAATTTCCCCAAATATTGCATATGATATTTCAGTATAAAAGGGTTAAAATGAATGAAAATTCTTCCTCTATTGGCTCGCACAATTACTGCTGGCTCCGCTGGCTATAAGGGTCTTCAAGCTGTTCGGTCCAATGCCATCGCTGGCGCAACAGAAACCATTCCTTTTTCCATAGTCTAAGTCATATATCACTGGCCAACCTATACGTTCAAAATCTTTCCTGACTATATCAATTCAAATTTTGATTGGCTCTCCTCGCTTTTGAATGAAAATTATGGAAAGATGAGATTAAATTATAAAAAGAATTATGGAAATATACAAAAAAACATATATATATATATATATATACAAAGAAACATATATATTATAAACAAATCAATGAATACCCGTTGTTGATGTTCAATTGTATCTGATATTTCCTGAGTTAATGAGTTTGTAGTGATAAAACAATCTTGCAAAGGAAGCGAATCGAAAGCTAAAGGAGATGTACCAGCTCGAATTTTTTTATCGCCAACATCATCCCATGAAATATTATCATGATATTCATATACGGAACCGACCAATAATGGTGGTGATGAACTGCAAAGTGCATAAATAAATAAATAATTATTTTCTCGTCCATTTCGCATTTTTAAAAATAAGAGTGATCAGATATTATCACCGTATACATTCAATATTTATATTTAATATAATGTAATGAAAATATCATCAATAAAAAGGTCGATAAAAAAAGAAAAAACGAATTACACTTCATTTAATGAAAGACGATGGTTTCGAATTTGCTTTTGGGAATAAATAGAAATTTCTTTCCTATAAAAATATTGAAAATTAATAAAATCGAGATATTAAAAATATTATCATATTTATTATTTCATCATTATATTACAGTAATCAAAGGCTAACGAAATAGAATTATCATTTTGCTGAAGTAACTTGGAATGATGAAGCTGCTCCCGAAGTGAACTCGAACCGCCTGCTTTTCTAGACCATATCTGAACACCATAATAAGAAATAAAATCTTTTTTCTGATAATAATAAAAATGAAATTTAAGCAAAAAAAAACACAAAAAGGAAATTTAAGCAATAGTAAAATTTTACTTACTGAACAACAAAAAACTCAAATCAAACCTGAATTGAATTATCCTTCTCATCACCCACATTGGCAAGAACATTTGTCGATGAAATAGAAGAAGAACGATCTATTGAACCATATCGACGGATAAGATATGAAGTATCACCAGCTAATGGTTTCGTAGCATTAGAAGGTCTTAAATGAATAAAAGAACCATTTTTTTTAATTTTTATCTTAAATTACCAAAAAATCAAATATATTAAATTTACGAAAAAATACATACTTTATTGGCTGAAATAGTGAAATTTGATCAGAGAAATAAGGAGGCTCTATTCGATCCAACTGATAACGCAAACCACTCGAATACGGCTCTATTTTAACACTGTTTTCATTTTTAATTTCCAAATTATCTTCAATTTCATGATTGCAAAATACTGCATTTAAAGTACACATCTGTGGCGGTATAGAGGAAGAAGTTGATGCAACAGAATTATGATTTGCTTGGACAAGTTTGTCCATAACATTATCAAGAATTGATACTGTTTGTACTGTTTCTTCATCGCCACTCATCGCACTTTCTCTAAAAAATTGTTAAATTAAACAAATAACATTTTTAATGCACCTTTTAAAGCATGAAAAACGGTAAAGACGGTATACATACTGTTCATCGATATATAAAGCCTTTCCAAGTTCCACGAAATATTTCTCATAACGTGGACCAGGCAATAAAGGCGAAAACACTTGATCATGATAGAGAATTAAATTTTTTACCAGTTCATTCACAAAATTATGATAAAAAACCTAAAATAAAAGTAAAGATTTCAAAACGAGATAAATGATGAAAAATAAAAGTAAAAAAAATGAAAAGCAACCTTCCAAGAAAGCCCTTCGAAAAATATGTTTTGCAATTCTTAGAAGATTTTTAAGTTGTAGTTTTCCTCTTTTTTCAATTTAAGTGAATCAAAATATATATACAGAATATAAAAATATAAAATTATATAATTATAAAAATTATAAAAATATAAAATATAATATAAAATAGAATATAAAATTAACTAACTTGATCTTTTCCATCTGGTATGGGCAATAATGTTGGCCCAAAACAGATTGCAAGATTATATGGATCCATCATATTTTCATCACTAAACACACTTAGATGATTCAGAAAAGCGAATAAATAACGCAGTAGCAATCGAGTTGATCTCGAAAGTTTCTCTAGCAGTGGTACAACCTTTAAAAATCATATTTAATTCACTGAACTGACCATACAGATTTTGGTTCTCAATTTAATTCAATTTAATTAAATTCCTCAAGATTTAAACAAAATTTTCCTTTATGATTTTATCCACGAAAATTCCCCAAATGATCAAAAAATGATCAAAGAAAAATAAAAGTCGGAAAAATGAAAATTATCCACTTTTTACGTTTATAAATTATAACAAACTTGTTTTACAAATTCCTCAGCATTTGAACACTTTGCACAATCCATAAACTGCTCAAATAAAAATAAAGGAAATAAAGGTTCACGTAGTTCACGTAAATATAATTTAAGAACCCCGGCAACAGAATTTATATCACTCGCATCCATCACATCTTTCAATGGATCTTCGCCTAAAATCAATTTTTATATTTTTATGTTGAATGATAATTCAAATTCAAAATCAAAACTAAATTTTAAATTTTAAATAAATTTAAATTTTAAATAAATTTTAAAACAAAGTAAAATATATGGCTAATGGAAAATGAACCTCGCTCAAATGCTTCTTTGAATGAATTGATCTCGATTTGTGATCCTGATATGCGGAAAACTCCTTGATGATGGATTGCAAATTGCGACAGCACCCTTAAAAATAATCCATTAAAGGCAGAAGTAAAAAATCACATGTAATTTTTTTTATTATTAACTGCAGTTACAGTTAATTGGAGCCAATTAGACATAAAAATGAAGTGAGTTGAAGTAAAAAATTGTGGAAATTTTCGTTCAACACTTATACATATATTCTATATTTACATTTACTTTGCCCCAGTAATAAAGAGAAATAAACTAACCGTATAGTCGACATAACAATAAGTGGAATAGGTTCACCACTAAGCTCAACATATTCGTCAAGACTTCCACCGAAAAGACGAGGTCGACGAGGATTTTCATTAACAAGTGCACCACCAATTCGCTTTTTCGCATATAATGTCGAATTCGTTAACTCGCTGTCTTCCCTTACACCTTTATTATTTGCATTTTTATATATTGTGAAAAAACCAATCATGAAACAATCCATAATAAAAAACTAAAATAACACAAAAAAAATTCAATTTATTTCAATTCAATTTATTTAAAATATTTCGACTATATTTTACAGCACCCAGTGTTGCCTCGTTCACGTTAATTAATTTACAAGTGAACGGACAGGAAACATAAAATAAAAAATTAGTAAAATAAAAGGATTGGTCAAAAAAAAAACGAACGAGATGTTGAAGAATTTGTAGCAAGTGCGTATGATTGATCATAGGAGATTTTTTCACCAACTGGCGTGATTAAAGAAAATTCGTTAAGTGCACCAGCTATACTTTTTGATCTCGCTTCGAGACGTTCTATTAAATTGCTATTCAGCATATAATGACTAAATTTCTGCAAAAAATAATACCCTCTTATCAAAATAAATAATATTTATGCTCAAATTCATTTTATAAACTGATTATAAAAAGTCACTGGATTCATTTCAATGGATCAAATAACATGCTTGAACGACAATTTTTTCTTAAAAAAGTGAATAAGTCTGTCGAATATCACTCCAAGAAACTCCAAGGAATATAAGTCTGTCGAATATCACTCCATGAAACTCCAAGGAATTAATGAAAAGAACAACAAACTCCAAGATAATAGTCGAATAATTCATTAAGATCATGTTTGTGTTTTGTTAGATCTAAAACGAAATTTTCCGCACGAATTTCAACCGATTTAGGTATAAGCATTCCACTTGGATTACACATTGCTTCATCATATTTTTCACTGATTGTTCTTTCTGTCAATTCTAGTGTTTTCCAGATTTCTTCAGATTCAAGCCTAAAATTCATAAGATAATCATATTACAAATATTTTTGCATTTTTATCAAAGTTTATTTGAAGAATTATGCAGCTAAAAAAAAAAAAAAACAAAACTAGATAAAACAAACTTCTCTCTTTTCTGTCCATAATTTTAAAATGCTGAATAATGGTTGGCCAATAAATAAAAACTGATATACCTAACATTCGTAAGTCTCCGTTCAATTTGCATATGCCGTTGCAACAGTTCTTCAGCAATACCTTCATTTGCACTTATTTTATTTATAACATCACCAATTTGCCCTCTAAAATTGATAAACTGAGAACGATATTTAGCTTTTAATTTGAAAACTAATTTTTATCCTGAAAATTAAAAAATTCATTAACCTAAAATCAAACGGTTTAGGTAACATGAAGACGGCATGATTAGCCTCAAAAAATCGTTGTTTATCAGCTTTTGCATCCAACGAATGTTTGAAATCACATAGCTTGGCAAGCGAATCCATTTCTTTCTGACATATTGCTTTGCGCGACGACACCGTACATGATACTAGTCGTTTTAACCAGTGTTCGACACCTAAGTCCATACACTAGAAATATTACCAAACATGAAATTAAGGATTAAGTGACCGAAAATAATAAAATGACGATAAATATTAAATGTAATAAATTTCAAAAACAATATATATACTGAACAATATACTGAATATTTTTGAATTTTTTGAGTTTTTACTTAGAAGTAAGAAAGTTATGTGATTAATTAAGATGGGCATTTCAAATTTCAGACAGCCTGACGAATAAGTTCATCCATTTTTAAAATATAGATTTTCTTAAAATGAAAATTAAAAATTACATCAATGAGATCGGAAAGATCATCCGCGAAATATTTATGCAATGCTGCATTCGCTGCTTGAACACACAATAAATATTCATTACGAGCTTTTAAGCATTTTACTTTTACTATTTCGAATTTTTCTAGTCTCTGAAATATTTTCTCCAACCTTTCGTTAAAGATTAACAACGTTAATCACATTTTTAAAAAAATAACAAAAATTATGATAAATTAATTTATTTAAAAATAAATCATTTACTTTATCATACACCTTAGCAAGTGATCGATATTTACGAGTTGTTCCCGTTTTTGTTGGATTCTCTTCTTCATACTTTTGTTTATTTCCTTCCGCGTTCCGAAATTTCGATTCAACCGTTGTATATTCGGCAAAACATAACTAAATATTGCACATCATCAAAAATCAAAGTTGGAAATGTATGAATAATAATGAAGACAGAATGCTGAGAAGTTAAAATATAACAAAACAATCTTTTAATTTTCAACCAATTACCTATTACCCATTTCCAACGAATTTTTTTCTATCATTTCCCAAGAAAAAAAGGATTGAGCAAAGGACGACATTAAAAGAAAAAAATAAAAAGTGGATAAAGCATAATAAAAGGAAAAAAAGTACTTGATAAGTTTTCATAGCTGTATGCAATTCATTCAATACTCTGCTAATTTCACCATGTGCCAAAGCTCCAATTTCACGACACTACAATCCAAAAATCAGCAGTAATATGAAAAAATAGAATTGATAAGGAACTGATTTCGTCGAGAAAAAAAGAAAATAGAAAAGGGATACTTTTCGTGAAATCCGATGTAAATCATCCGACCGTTGCGATATAAGCGGTGATAAAAGATTTGTATAGAAATCAGATAGGAAATTTCGTTCTTGTGCTTCAATTTTAACTTCATCGATTAATTGTTGCCACAAGCCGAAAAATGAATATAGTGGCCAATTTTCTCTCCTTAAAAGATAAAAATTAAATATTCGTGAATTTTACGAATGAACATAGCTAGAAATTATTGGAAAAATATAGCATCATCACTATAAAAAAAAACAAATTCCTCGCGAAAAATTTTTTTAAATTTCTAAAATCCAATAGCATGCCAATAATTAATAATTTATCAACTAATAATTAATAATTTAATTAATAATTAATAATTTACAAAATAAAAAATTAGAAAGAGGAAAAAAATACTTGTTTTTTTCGTTTTTATGCTTTTGCATAGCATTTTTTGCAAGTTTTTCCAACTGTCGACTGTATTCCCCATCTAATTCAGCTTTTCGACGATAAAAATCGTTCAACTCTGATAGAATACTGGCCTAAAAAATAAATTATGTAATAATTTTGCAATATATAAAAAACAAATTCGAAAAAAAACTTTAACCTGTACATCAGTTCGCGATTCAAGGCATCTCAGTTGTTCGTTTAACTGGTATCGAATTTCTGAAAACCTTCTATTTCACCAGATTTTATAAAAATAATTGTTATGGTTATTCTTATATTATTATTTTGTATTATTAATATTACAAATAATACTGAAATTCCGAACTATTTTCGCAATATTTTAAAAGAATTCCAAATTTTTTCCCCATCTCAGACTTATACAAATTAAATTTATAATTATCACTAAATTCATAAAAATAAATTATTTCTTTCCATAAAAATTTAATATAAATAATTAATAAGGATCAATCAACAACTGCACGCAATACGCTTTATAGCCCATTCATTTGTTTACATAATGAAACCACAACCCGTTTCGCGAATATTTTGCCCTCAATAACTGCTAAACTTATTCTTTTATTCACTCTAATTTTTATTAAAACACGGTGAAATTCTTTTTCCCTGTAAATTGATCATTCTCTTTCTTTCCACTCATATAATTTATTTATAGTTTACTTTTTATTCAAAAAACTATTTTTCTTTGAATTTCTTTTGTTATAATTTTTAAATAAAATAATTTGAGTCAATTTGCTATTTATTGGCAATAAATAAATAATTAAAATAATAATTGTGTCCATGAGGAAGGAAAAGAAGAAGCAATAAACTCGAAATAAAATGTCGCAGTTTTTTGCTAAATCTTATTTAAAATGCCTTTCTTTCGACCAAAAATAATTATTAAAATTTCAAGAAGATCAATAATAACTTCAGCGTATGAAAGCAAATTATAAAGTGTATTTTTACGTTTAAACATTCTCAAACATTTTAATCGAAACGAAATAACAATTAATTAAAATTAATTTAATAATGAATGAAATTTTCACAGAAAATTTAAAAATTTCAAAAGTGTTAACAAAAAAAGGAAAAGAATACTAACGGAATATGTCAGCAATTATTTCATTATTACGATTATTAGTGAGATTCGCACAAAATATCGCTTTTACCATTTACATCCAAATTATTTATTACTTTTCGATAGTTTTACCACTGCTTACTGATAATAATAAAAATATAAAACATTAGAAAACATTATAAAACATTGGCAATTAATGATTAAATATTCAAAGTGCAATACAATACAATTTTAAACGATTATTCAACAATAAAAATATTTGTGTTCAGTATAAATAAACCATAGACTATAAACATATGGATCGGAAGATCTGGAAAAGTCTTGAACTAATAAAGCATAATAGGCGAAAGCCAGTTAAAGCCTAATGCAAACTACTCAGCAGAAGAAGAATGGCCTAATTTTTGCGTATAAAAAGACTGTAAAACTGATCGAATAGATAAACAACATCGTTATTATTGCATATCATAACTATAAAAATCTATTTATGGTGAATGAAGATTATGATCATTCTTATAGCGCATTGATGAACAAAATTTTATGGCAAGTTTTCACAGAAATATCCTTTCATCACGTAAAATCAATCGAAAAATTTCTATCGATTCTATCAACACTTACTGGGAAAATGAAATTAAAAACAGGAAAGGAAGAGAGAAGAAGAAATGAAAAAGAAAGAGCTAAAAGGGAGGAAAGAGGAACAGAAGACGAAAAAAAGATAATTTTGGAAACTTACATTAAAACAGCTGAATGAACAACTTTTTGGAAGTAAAAAATTAGCCAAAAAAAGTAGATTGCAATAAAATTCGTTTATCAAAACAAAAATTTCTTCCACTTTCTCCTATATAATATTCTTTCTTTCATTCTTATCAATGATATATATTTAAATAAAAATATATAAATATAAGAATATTTAAAAGAAGAAAAGGAAGATCGAAAGGTATCCACTAAACAGCTGTTATTACTCGATATTCTATCTCTATCAACGATTATAATGATAAGTGACGATAATGATAACGGTAATGATAACAGCGATTAAACTTTTAATAATAATTAATGATATAGTAAATGTGAATATTTAATAAATATTTAATTCGTACAATTAACATTTAATCCTGATTAAAAAATATTAAACAAATCAGTAATACTTAATAGTTAGTAAAAATTGTTTAATTTTAAAAAAATCATCGAAAGCGCATATCTTCTTGCAAAAAAAATTACCGTAGTTTGGCGATCACTGTTTATCTGTTTATCAATTTCATTCGAGGAATAATTCTATATTCTTCAATTCTTCAAACAAGGACAGCAGCAACGCTTAGCTAATGTTGCTGAAGCTGTCTATGTAATCGAAATCTTCTTCAAACAGTCCCCAGTCACTGCTTAGATTCGCTGGCTATAAGGGTGAGATTCTTTACGCTGTTTGGTCCGACACTATTGCTGATAGTAATAGAAGCACTCCTTTTTTGCACCACCTACGTCCATACATCGCTGGTCCATCTACACGTTCAAAATCTTTCCTGATTTATTTAATCGAAATATTACTCTATATCCCATAAAATTGATATATTTTAAATTTTCCAAACAATTTACAATAAATCAAGAAATAATCTTTATTGACTTATAAAATTTGGAATTATTCATTATAAGTTACAAATTAATTCATTTTGCATTTATACTAACAAAATAAAATTTTCAAAAAAATCCCAAATTTTGGTGAAAATTTTACAAATTATTGTTTATAAATATTTACCAATACAAATAATTTAAACTAAGTTTTAATATAAATTTTTTGTTCAATTATCCAATAAATTTTAATGATTTCGATTTATAAAAAGTTATTAGTGAAATAAAAATACAAAACACGTATTTCAGTGACACACTTTTCAGATGTTTTTTCAATTTCTAAGCGATTTCTACGAAGCGAATTCGACAAGTTCTATGAAATGTTTAAGAGAAATCGATATTCATTGGTTGGTATCGTAAAGCTTTCAAATTAAATGCTAATTTTTTACAAAGAATAACGAATAAAATTTTAAAAAAAATGCTTATTTTTTTACAGATAAAGCAAAAATTTAACCAAAAGAAATGCATTCACCGTTCACATTATATAGCAAGCAATACACTGCAACTGCTTATTTTATTGTGACGGATTAACAACGATTAAATTTTATCGAAATATGGATTATTTTTCGTTTTAAATATTAATGATTTAAACAATTTTGGATTCAAACTCGCAAGAACTTTTTGCGAAAATTAATTGCAAAATAAAATGCGGCATATGGAACAAATAAAGATTAATTTAAAAAATAAAATAAAGCAAACTTCAAGGAAGGAAAAAGAAAAAAGTGGCTATTAAATCATAAAGACTGACAATCAACCAACCAACCGGTTGGGCTGTTGGCTTCAATCCGGTTGAATTTCTTTTTTCAAAAAATTTACTACCAATCAAATAAATTTTGCATTTAAAATCAAACAGAATTACAGAATTTTACAAAAAAAGACTTTTATCGTTTGCTTAAAAGAAAAAACAAATTTGCGAATTCGATATATTTTTTTGCTAGCAATAAATATTTATTGTATATAAATTAAATCAATTTTTAAATTATATTATAAATTTATTAATTTATTAATTTAAAGAGAGGATTTAAATTTATTCCTTTTGCAAATTCTCCTTAAAATTTGCGAATCACTTATTCCTTTTCAACTACTAAACAGTTGTTTTTAAAGAACAAAATAAAGATAAAGATAAATAGCTCAAAGTAAAGCAAAGAAAATTTAGAATATGTAAAACAGAATATGTAAAATTTCGCGGGAATTCGAAATAAACAAAATAATAAAAGAAACTGGGTGGGATGAGAGAATAACTCATTCAAAACAATAAAATGACGCTCAAATTATCATTCAATTATCAAATCATCTGTTTCTGTAACCGCGTCCTTATTTAATCGACAAAAAATCTTATAAATCTAATAATTATATTTTAATTTCACTCGAAACTCCAAAAAATTTAAAAAATAAAAAAATTTAAAGCGATAGAATTGCATTATTTTAATAGGAATTCAACAAATTTTTTCTATGAATGAAAAAGAAAAAGCATTCTATACCAAATCTCTTCAAATTAAATCAATTATAATAAACGACTATCCAAAATTTTTCCACTGATAAAACATAAATTACCCTATTTTCTTTTTTTTTCATTCAAAACATTACAAAATACCAAATATAAATTCCCAAAATTCTTCTATTATACCTTAAAATTTGATTTTAATTTGAAATTCTAAAACTTTTCTAAAATTTGAACTTCGAAAATTGAATTGAATTGAAAATTTTATTCTTTCATCCAACAAATAAAGAAATTTATTTTAGTAGATTAATAGCGAACAATTTCTATGTAATCTACAAATGAAAAATTATAAATCATTATTACATATAAGATTTGAAATTTGAAAAAAATTTTTTCTAAAAAAGCACGTCGAAAAATTGAAATAGGTAAATTAATTGTGAAAAGCTTATTTTGTTAAAAAATATTCTTATTTTATTTTTTCGAAAATTATCTTTTCATTTTCATATATTTTTTCTTCAGAAAATTAATAACGAAATAAAGAAAATATTTTTCGAGAAAAAAATAAAGAATAATAAGAATGAGAATATAAAACGAATAAAAAGAATTTTGCGTCGAAAAATAATCGTTCACATGTGCAATTATCAACGGTTTTTTGAAAAGTGGCAATTATTTTTGAAACTCAGCCAATTACGCAGTAAGTCGCAAAATAAATAATTTGATAAAACTTTCGTCTCAAACTCTTTGATTTTTCTTTGATTCTCTTTGATTCACATGTGAGCAACAAAAAAAGAAACCTTTGACACTTTGATCATATTCGTGTACGTTACTTTTTCCTATCGAAATCGATGCCTTACGAATATCACTTGGCGCGATCGATGTTGACGACACATTCATCCTTCCATTTAACTAAATGCTAAGTTTAGTTCGAGTTTTAAGCAAAATTAATGATTAAAGAACGAAACAGCGTTTATAAAAACAGTGAAAACGATAAATAGTTAGTTGTAAAAACTGATCAAAGTAAAGGAAATGACGGGGATAAAAAATGGAAATTTACAATAGCCTAACGTGATAAAAATATTCCTGAAATTAAGAAAATTGACCAGAAAACATATAAAAATACTAAAATTCGCAAAAATTTCAAAAAATTAATTTTAGTTGAAATAAAGAGAGTCCAATCCATTCATTTAACAGCTGTTTTTTTCATTTTTACGATTCATTGCCGAAAACAATCGCAAAAAGGCGATGCTTCTTCAACATCGTCTTCTTTACCTCCGGTAATCTTCTAAGAAAAAGCAAATAGAGGCGCCATTAAATAAATAATAACCTTAATAAGTGAACAGTGGAAAATTACAATTGGTGCGACTCGCAGATTTTTCCAAAATATTTCTTGCGTGCAAAATATTGAAAATGAAATAATGAAATAATTTTTTCAAAGAGCGACTGAGCAACCGACTTCTACTGATCGATTTGGTTTTTGATTAGAGGAAAAAACATAAAACCAACCTATTCGAAACATATAAAAAACAAAGGTCGATCCATCATTTTGCGTACATCCTATGAAATTTATTTATTTATTTAGACTAAATTAATTTCTCAATTCAATTTTTCCCTTTCAAAATTTTTTCACAATAGCCGAAGAGAGAGAGATCGGTTCAGTAAATGACCTTCTTTAATATTATGGAAAATTCCTATTTTATTCCTTTTTTTACTAATCGTTATTATTAATAATATTTATATTTATTAATAATATAATATTTATGAAAGCAATTTTTCTTTTCATGATACAGTCTCTATTCCTCAAAAAACTAAAAAATTATGAAAATTGTTTTGAAAATCATTTACTGAACCGATTTTCACAGTGGAATAGAATAAACGAAAAACAGGTAATAACTCATAATTAATAATAATTATAATAATTCGTTATAATTATAATAATAATAAAAAATCTGTAAGCAATAGATATCGTCTCAACGCCTATGATTTCGCATAACAGAAAATATAATAGAAAAGAAAATGAAATTCAAGCAAAAATAAAAAAAATAAATGCAAAGAAAATTCGAGAGCCGAAAATTAGAAGACTACTGGATAAGCATGCCATAATTTTTTCCTAAATAACCTTAAAAAGAAGATATTTTGATGGATTTTATCCGAAACGGCGAAAAGCGCTAGCTAATATGCCCGAAAAGTATCCAAATATCTGCCTATTTCAAACATTAATAAACGATTTGCAAACACTGCAAAAAGATATTTAATACAAAATGTAAACGATAATGGATACTACAAGTGTGTAAAATTTCTAATTAAATAAAAACAATCAAATAAATCAAAAAATGAATCACAAAATAATTTTAAACGATTTACATCATTCGTATAGAACTATAACACTTAACTCTTAATTCTCTAATAATTCAAAATTGATTTTGTATAAATCTTAAATAAATTTAATAATTTCGAAAATATTTTATGCATTAAAATGATTGTTCTTTCTTAACTCTTCAACCTTACAAATGAATTTTTGCGAATAGTAAATAATCAAATAATAATCAAACTTCATTTCATTTTAAACTTCAATTATTAATAAATTAGAAATATCAAATAAACAAAAATTCGAAGGTAGTATTAAGAGTTGCTTTTTTTTACAATTTTACGATATTACTATAAAAAGATTATTGTTAAAAAGAATTTAGGCAGCATGCATTCAATTCTTATCCTCCGACGAGAGGATGAGAGCATTAAAAATGATATGCGAGGCTTTTATCCGCGAACGATTCTGTAAGCATTCATAATTTTTAAATTTGAGTTTTTTTCAGGTATAAACTTATTATTAATAAAAATAATCCAATGAAAAACAATAATAAAAAAATCTGCAATTTAACAATTTTAAAATTTCAGAAAAAGTTAAAAACAACCATCAAATTATTTATTTATTTAATTAATTATTTAACCAATCATCTTTTTCTTAAAAACCATTCTACGAAAAAAATTTTGAATTGCTGATAAAGGTTTTTATTATTAAAATATTTTTTATAAAAAATTGTACACCACCCCCCCTCCCCCACCTCACATACACACGTAAAAACGCATTTGCCATTGCTGGTTAGATCCGCTTCGTCACTTTTCGGACTAGACAAATATGCGCAGGAATCACTTGGCAAAAGAAATATATGTGAGTCGCCAGCACCACACAGATTTTTAAATGAGAGGTTTGCTCGTGCCGGGAATGGAACCTCAGCACCCGCACTCCATCCTACTCTCCTCCGTTTTCTCAGTTAGGCGACACTGTCGCCCAGTGAAGTATGGTATCTGCAGAACATTCGAACCCAAGCCTCGATTCACAGGCCACACACATATAAAATTAAAAAATAAATTAACGCAAAATGTCCATTAAAAGTCGGACAACGTGACGGTAATTCTCGTCCACGTTCAAACCTAGCAACGTTCAATTATACAATTATAAACGAAAAATTCATTCCAAGATCATGGAACTGCTAGTGGCGAACCTACTTCGTGCACATTGAAACTTTTGGGAATTTCCGGGAATTCCTAGTAGTTGCAAATTAAAAATCACTCCAAGAAGGATAAATTTTTGATAAATTCATTAGTTCCATATTTCAAATGATTAGCATTTCTTTATCATTCCTTTTCACTATTTTTCTTAACTATTTTACTTTTTTCTGATTTTGTTGTCCCACAATACAATATATTTATGTGACAGTCATTTCCTCATTTGAAGAGTATGAAAGAAAACTCAATTTCGACATTTTTGGCTTCGATGGAATTTAAATTTTAAGATTTCCGATTTTATTGTAGAAAATTTATTTCTCTTATATGCTGAAATAATCAAATTTGCAAAAGGAGAAAAGATTTTTACCACAAAATTAAATGCGGAAAAGGACGGAATTTTTTAATTTCAAAAACAAGCGATTCCCGGTCTAATTTGGTGCTAATTGTCCAAATCGTAATTTCATCTTTTCTGGGCCATTAGGTATGAGATTGGATCCAAAATATTGGTAATCCGAAAACTTGTGGTGAGCTGATAAAAATGTTATCAGTGTCTGACATTTAAAGTGAAAAGACTTATTTATTTTCAAAATCTCTTACTATGCTCTCCATTGACAATTCTTGTGTAGGCAAGCGGCGTTCACAATCCAATTTTTTACATAATAACTGAATAGCACGGCAAAGCACACAGCCCTGCCATCATTTCTCATTTCGAAAGGATTTTCCAATTCCCCATGCATCCGAATCCGCATTTTTTTCATCGATAGAATGCTTTAGAAAGGCCAATCTTCTCTGGATCTATCGTGTTGTTTGCCGAAACATTGCTCAGCCATCGAACCAAAGCAGCGGCAAAATTGACGTACGTCACCAACGCTTGAAACGATGTTTCCTTCCCTGCTGAAAATTGATCACAACCATCTTAATATATTTCCATAATTCTCCACATAAATCTTTATTAAAACACGATTTCCACTTCTCATATCGTTCCTTACTCCTATGTGTACGACTAATAGCAAAACGTACCAAATTTCTATGACTTAGAAAACTGCATTTTAGTAGCTTTTAGCTGTTATTTAATTTAATTAAAATAACCATTTTAAAACACGTTTTTTTATTTATGCGCATAATTCTTTCGTTGTTCTTATTTTGATCATATGGTAAAATATCATATCATATCATATGCTAAAAATAGAAAATTTTTATTTTCAGTGGTTCTGATTTTAATGTATTTATTTATATTTTATTTTAAATATAAACAATATTTATTTAATATTTTTGTTCTTATTCTGCGTTGAGTTTAACTCTTTTTTCATTTTTATTTTATTTGAGTATTTTAGAGAATTTCCATAGAATATAATAAAAGTGGAAATGAACGAGGATCGTCAGTGGATTTTCGACCTGGAAAATCATGGAATCGACGGAGCGATAAAGCTTCGGCAGTTGTTGTTAAATTCAACAAATATTTTGAGAACGATTGCTGATTTTCAGGAACGGAATTCTGTTAAAGTTAGTTTTCATGTTTATGGGTAAATATGCAAATATCCTCATAATAAATTGTCTATATTGGTTAATTTGTGTATTCACCGAAGCCTTTTTCTTATTTTTTTCGATTATTTTTCTATCCTTTATTTTTTTTACGATGTAGGTTCTATAATATGCGAGTGAGTTATTCTATTTTTCCATTTAAAAGAATGAAAGGCATAATGAAATGATTCTAATGCCAAATTAATCGTAATTCATATTAGTATTAATGAATGCTAGTTTTTAGAAAGACAATTTAGAACCGGCAATGAAATTGCTTGATATTCTTGGCGTTAGAAGAGCTGAATTCCATGAATTGGTAAGTTTTCCAAATATAAACATAAAAATATTATCTAATCACATTCCTTTCGGTCATTTATTCTTCTTAATAACAAGATATAATAATAATAATAAAATAAATAAATTAGATTCGATAATTTTATTGGGCTTTATTTTGGCGTTAATTGCTGATAAAGCAATAATTGTTTATTGTCGTATTCATACGGATTTTTTTCAGGCAATAGCTGATGCAACTGAGAAAATACTCGCAAAATTAAAATCACTGGGATCACAGAATACCAAAGAATCGATATTAAAACTAGAGAAACAATTGGAGAAAAGTTTTAAATTATATCGTGTTCCGAAAATGCGTCCAATTATTCTTGAAACCTTACGGCAATTACCTAAAGTACCTGATAGGTCAGTTCAATTTTTTTGAAGTGTTATTATACAATAAGGACCGAGGATAGTAGTGCTGAAGGAAAAGTATAGTTGAATCATGTGGCAAGATTTTTTGTTTGTTTGTTACCCTCGTTTTTCTATCAACTTGAGTTGAAAGCCTTGGAAAGAAAAATAGCATTATATTATGGAAAATTTGAAAATGGAGTGAATATTTCGAAATTGAGGAAATGAGAGGAGTGGCAAAGTAAAGGCTGACTGAATTGTGTACGGAGTCAGTTTTGTTCTGTGTGATAGAATTAGCATTGATTGACGAGATTTCTTATTGGATTATCACGAATGGTTTATCACATATAAAATACATACTTAAATATGGTAAACGGTTTGATTGAATTTTTCGTATTTTTTTGGTTAAAGCTACCAAATTCATATAGGTATTTAGATATTTAAAAATAATAGTAGCCGATAAAGAATTCTATGAATGTTGTGCAATGTCAGTACGGCAGCAGATCTGGCTAAAAAATGATTTGTTTTATTTGGAAGCAGTAGCACCAGTCATTGACCGATATATAATTGATAAAAATAAAACGTTTTATGCGATTGATCAAACATCAACTAATTTCTTTACTTCTGAAACGACGAAGTCAAGGCGACAGTGGCAATCAGTACAAGGTCTTTAATTAATTTTATGATTTCAATTTATTGAAATAGCTGAATTTAAAGTTTTGGTTAATATTTTTTAGCAATTATTCATTTATTTCATCAAATATTTATTTTCGTTTTAAAGATTTGGTCGCAATGGTGGGAGATCGCGAATATCTTTATACTCGCCTCATTGCTATATTACGTGACGCTTTTATAAAAACAAAGGACTTTAATTTTTGTTCACTGCGGATGGAAATTGTTATGGCTGTTCATGATAACAAAGTTTCGGTGGATAAAATCGGCAAGATTTCGCTTTGTTTTTATTTTTGCTTTTTCAAATTAAAAATCATTCTCGTTAATTGCTAATATGAGCCTTTAGATCCTTGTCATGACCTTGCATGGTGCCTTGATGCTTGTGTTCGAGATAGACATTTGGATGCTCAGTTAACGAATAAATTAAAAAATATACTGGATTCAGCGAAGCAAAAATCTGCTGAGGTCGTTTTTGGGTTAATTTTTTATTTTTATGCTAGTCATATTGAAGGATAATTATAAGGATAACTATAACTACAGGTGGTCGGTGATCTTGCAATGATAGCTGCTGATGTTCACGTTGTTCATTTTCTTGCTTCAATGGCTGTAAAAATACTCAAAGATATTGCGGTGCAAGGAATTCATTTGCCTCGTGAAGTGCAATCTTTGCAACTTATAACACGGTGAAATCTCTTATAATAGCAAATTTTTCAAATATTAAGAGAGCAAATCTGAATTTTAGGATATTTTAGGGTAGGATATATTTAGGGCATACAGGGTATCTTTTTTTTTCTATGATTGAAAATTATTTTCAGAATATTCTTAGAAGTATATATCCTCTCATTATAGATATATAACCGTTAGAAAATTGGATATAACTTGTAGAATAGATTTTTCATGAGAGGCTTTGATGAGATGCAGGTATTTCAAATTTTGTTTGCAAAATGTATAAACGTTTCAAAATTTAGACTTTTGTCTTTCGGTTCTTCTGCACACACAATTCTTAATAAGAAAGAGTTCAACAGTATTCATGCTGTAGATTCAGTTATTTTTACCAAATTTTTCGCACCAATGACTTCACTTATTGTTGAAGATGTCATCAGGAATGAATTGAGTCGTGCCACAGGTAATTCATAATTATTATTTAATTTAAAAGTGCTGCAATATTTTTACAAAAGTTATTTTGATTGGATGTTTTTTTTCTTATTTTTAAAATAATAAGGTAAACTGCAGATGAATTTCTTGATGATCACCCCTTAAGCAGCTTTTGTTCAATGCCCTCCGAAACAATTATTAGTTTTTTAAAAACTGATCTGACTTGTGCATTAATATGGATGTATTATGCTATGGAAATGTTGCCGAAAAAGCGTCGACCTATTGATATTAGTGGCTTAAATCGTTATTTGCAGATTTTTCCGAAATTAAAGGACAAGGTATTTCACCAGTTTTACAAAGCCGAATTGTGTCTTTAAAGTAATGAATCTGTGTTACTGTTATATATATATATATATATATATATATTTACGTTCGTCTTGCTAAAATAAAGTCACTCGATGAGAGTAGGTGTATTGCAAGTGGATATTATACTAGTACCAAAATTCGTTTTTCTCATATCACTCTAGAATAAGCCTAAGTATTATATTTACTTATTGCTTTTTCACTTTTTCTATCCTTGTTTTAGATGATTTTTAATGCAAGTGGTTTAAAATTAATTTATAGTTTTCTGATGTAATCTAATATATCACAAGTCTTTATTTATGTTATCAATCTCACGCAGCAATCGGTAATTTTGGGGAAGTTCAGCATTGCCGAATTTGCTCCGGCTGAAGTGTCTGGACCGATTTTACTGAAAATTGCATCCTTTAAAAGCTTAAGTTCTTTTAACTTAAATCGCAGACGGCATGTCGATATCAATATATATCATAAATTTTTATTTTTTATCAAGGTTTCACTGGAATATCACCAGCTTATCAGCCTACTTTTTATTATTATTTTTTGTCATTATCAAGAAAGGGAGAAGAAATACTGATAACTCTAAAAGAGTTTAAATTTGAGGTTTAACCATTGTTCAACGTTAGGATGTTGTAAATCAGTTAACAAAAGATAAAAAGATTGTCAGAATATATATGTAATATATATTTATGTTTTTGTATAGTTTTGCAATCCGATAACTCGTAATTTCACTGGCCAAAAAAATTTGTACAAATTTATTTCAGTTAGCATATCGTGATCCATGGGCTCATCTTTTTGTGCATCGTTTACTTCAGATAATCCCATATGCTAATGTTCTTCAGAGTGAACTTATATATAATTCAATTATTACCGATTACTTAATGAATGAATTGGAGGTATTTTTTGAAATATAAATTTTTTACATACCATATATATATATATATATTTTAAGCACTGGGATGATGTGTGTGATTAATATGGAATTATGTAAAATTGGTTCGAATCGAATCCTCTTTCCAGTGAGGGTTCTTACATCTGAAAACTTATCTGCCTTCCCTCAATATCCTAAGCTTCTGGTAGAGGTTCAGTGCCCATAGCAAGTACAAGGGGCGAGAGAGGGATTTTTTAGAACTACCATCAGCCATCTTCTATGAATGGTTAATACCAAGTTATTGCTAAAAATGAAAAAGGCATGGATTCGCTGATTCATCTAAAACGAATACAGCGATGTTGGGTTAGAGAAATATGACCCGATATTAAATAGAGAAAAAGTAGTAATGACTATATGGTGGATTTGCCATCGGGATATGTAATAAACATACAGACTATAAGTGATATGGCAATAACGATGAGAAGGCTAGAAAGACTGCAATATAGATATTGCCAAAGAATCAGACAAGAATTAGACAAGAGCCAACTCAATGACAGGAACATGCCATAAATATGTGCCCCTGCCGAGCATAAGGTACGCAGCTGGCATAGTAAGAGGGACGATGGAAGACGTGGAGGCTGCTGATGTGAAGACCTGAAAACTCACATAATGCATCGAAATTTCCATTTCAAAGCATTCATTCAAAGATTGTACATCAGCCGGAAAGAAGATGGTTGGGATATGAAAGCTACTATCTCGAAACTCGAAGCATCTAGGAGCACAAAGGATAAGCTGCTGAGAGAATGTCACCATTACAGATTGGAAAAAGGTCAAGTAGAGGAAATGCATGGAAAAGCAAGACTCTTCATGGGATGTTCCACTGCCATATAATTGAAGTGGTTGACATTGAAAAATCCTAACAGTGATTGGAAAAAACTGGATTAAAAGACAACATCGAGGCATTAATCGTAGCAATTCAAGGGCAAGCATCCATTGAATATTATAGATCCATTAAAGCGAGGATCTACCACTAGACAAGTGCAAATTGTGCAAAAATGTATCAGAAACAGTCTAACATATAGTAGATAGATGTAAAATGCAACAGGAACACATGAAAGGTATTCCTCAGAAAATCTTGGAGAATAATAAAACAAGGATATGGGATTTCTTCATCGAGATAGACAAACAAATACTGGCCAATTTACCAGATACCATAGTGATTGACAAGAATCATAATTCAGCACCGGTGATAGATATAACAGTACAAAGTATAAAGCGATAGGAACGTCAGAAGGAAGGAATATGAAAAGTGGCTCCAACAGATTCGAAAAAAAGCATCAGAGATCTCTGTTCAAATGAGCGTAATGTTGGAAACAGTTAAAATATGCACAGAATCCTCAAGCTCCTAAGCCTCTGTTAGAAGACCCGATGTTGAGGATGACCATGACTACCCACAGGAAATGGGAAAATTTTTTTATTTTATAGTTTTTTATAGTAGTTTTTTATTTTATTTTATAGTAACCATTTTCCAAGCTGTCATAATCGAAAAAATTTTGGAATGTATAGTCTACTTATTCTATTTTACTTAATATTTTAAGGTAAATAGTGCTATTAAATATCATATATTGCGAATTATCAATTCAGCTGCAGTACGTATCGGTGAAACTCGAATTTTATCGTTGTTGGAAAAAATAAGTCCGGAGGTTCCTATTTTTTGCATTTTTGTGAGCACTGAGGAAAAAATATTGCCTCTGCTTTTTATTGGTCGAAAAATTATCGATTGGTTGTAAATAAATCCATTAATTTCAAAAAATATCGTTCTTGTTTTGTGTAAAAATTATTTTAGCAATTGTTTGAACCAGGAATGGTCGAGGACGAAGATATGAAAAGGTATAAAACAGAATATAATCGGGTTCACTCTAAATATTACGAAAAACCAAACGATACAGCCACATCAGTTAATTCATAAAGAATTTTTTCAACGAATCCGAATATGTAATTAATTTGCAGATTAAATTACCTAAATCCTTATTTTGATTTATTATTTTTCATTTATAGTATCATTATTTTATCATTTTTTAAATTTTTTCTTTTTATTTCTCATGCTTTCGTTTTAGATTGTAATTGTAAACCTTTGTTTAAGTTTATATTAACTAAATATTTTTTTTCTTAAGAGATCATCCATTGCTTTTAAATTCTGCCTAAAAGACTTTTTTTACCTGAAGCAAGTAAGTGAAACGTACGTTTTTTATCAGATATAGTAATTGTTTAATAAAATAATAAAATTTAAGTTTGTAATTATTGCAGATTATTAGATTTCTCTTTTTGGTTTTTTCAAAACATAATTATTAGAATGAAAGTTTTTTCAAAATGTTTTACTAAATTATGATTTTTTAAAGGGCATATCACCATTACTGGTTAAACTTTCTCCGAAGACAGGTTTATTCCTGTGGGGAGTAGAATTTCACCATCGGTGCTCTGAATGGAACAAGAAGCCATTGAGCCATTCTATTCTGGTTTATGATTGAATATACTTTTTTTCTTTTAATGGCCACACTAATTGAAAAGGCGATTCAAAAGGCCATTATCCAATTTGCTCGATGGCATAGCTGAGGACAGGATTCCCTTATCTCTAAGTCCACATATTGCCAGCACATTTATGCTTTTGAAATCCTATCAGTATAAGTATACTTGGTTGGTTGTTTTCGCTATTGGTGCCTTCCATCACATAATTTAGCCAATAGTGAAATATCAATTCCTGTTGAGTTAACCTGATTAATGTTTGCGACACTATTGCACGATGATATTAGTGCAGATAATATTCGAAGGAAATTGAATACAGTCCAGTTCCAGTTGTGAACGTCTCAGCGCTTGCTATATAGAAAAAAAGGTTTATCGCCAGTGGTCTGTAACGACAAATAATTTTTCGATTCCACTTTTTTCTTAGTAGTCTTCAACAGTCTAGGATTTGCCAATTAGGATTAATAACGTAGGAAGTAATTTATATATTTTTAATATAAGAAGTTTAAAAAAACTTTATGACCTACAACACTTATTAAATGATAACCCAAACAATATTTTCTGTATCAGTGAAATGTGGTTGGATGATTCTACTGATAATCAAGAACTAAACTTCGACGGCTTTATAGTATCACACAAGGAAAAAACAATAAAGGTTTAAATACTCGTGGAGGTGAGGTTATTACGCTTATCCTCGATTATTATAAATATTTCGATTATTTGTAACTTTTGATGATTATATTTGTTCCTCTTTTGAATCTCTGATAACTAAAATTTGTATTTCCCTTAGATCTACACCGTCTGTCTGGCTATGGAAGCGAGTTCACTTGCGATTTCCAGTATACTTTCCTTAAAGCTTCGAAAATTCGCTCCACTGTGTAGTCTATAGAGTTTAAACTTCCTGCCACGCGGAAGTTTTTAACTAAAAAAATTATATTTTCCGGCCAGCGTTCTTATAAATATCTCACTGCGAATGTTGCGATTCTCAGACTTGTGTAATTAAATCTTTTATTTAATAAATAATAAAAACATTAGAATAGAAGAAATATTAATATTAGAGAAAATATTAGCGAATCCTATAACACTAGAGCGGCATGTACATATCCCCGAATGACAAATTCTTGGAAGATGGATGGAGCACTGACAAGCAATTACGAAATGAATAAAGTCCCTACCTAACGCTTTATAAATCCCCATCGCATTTCCCGAATCTCCTCCTAACTTCCACCTTCTCTCTCCCCTCAAACTCAACGAACCCAAAATGGCGAAATTGGTCTCTTGGGAATTCATATTCGATTTGAGATGGGCGGAAAAAAGATTCCTTTTTCCATTTTTCATTCTCTCAAAACAAACTGTCTTTATTGTACCTCTCATTCATGAGGTACTCTAATATTATTCGCGATATTTTCTAATATCTTTCCTCTTATCGCAACTCTTCTTTTTCTTATTTTCCTAGTTGGAAAGAGATGCATAGCCAGTGCGTTGCGGTCTTCGCCATTCGGCGACAACTGTATTAGATATTGTGTTAGCTACTTCTACTTTTGTTGTTGATAACATTAAAGTTGTCGCCGAATGGCGAAAAAAAAACTAAATATGAGCAGGTTGTCCGCATCTACTCTATACCAAGCAAAAAAATTAATAAAATAAGGGAAAAGAGTTGAAGAAGATATTAGAAAATATACGGAATAATGGTAGAGTATCTCATAAGTGAGAGGTACAATATAGCCTTTATTTTAAGTCTCTCCTCTCCCATCTCAAATCAAATATAAGCTCCGAGAAGATCATTTTTGGCATTTTAAGCTTCTGTTGGGAATAGGAGCGGGGAGCAACGGGTAAACTGGGCTTTTATATATTTTTATATTCGGTTTTACTTACTATATTATTTACTTATTATTTTTCTTTATAAATAGGGCAACAATTTCGTTTTACTTTCTTTGCATATATTTGCGTCGTTACTAATAAATGGTTTAATGACCCAAGTTTGAGGGTTCGCAACGAGATATTAAGGAGAGAACACTGGCCGCAGAATTTATAATTGTTGAGAAATAAAAGTCCCGCGTGGCAGAAAATTTATTAAATCTATACTGAAAAACACAGAGGATTCCCGAAGGAATTTCGTAAAGTTAGGAATTGGAAGTGGGAATCAAAAATTCGCAATAAATTCGCTAACAAAAATTCGCTTGCTACAAGTTTTCTGTACAAAAGTCTTGGAACCTTTTTGTAATAATGATCACTATCATTCTTTATTTAAATTAGACGTCATGTATTTTCGAGATTTTCTAGAAATGATCGTTATTGTGATTATGAAATCATTATTCTCCTAGCAGAAATAAATTGGGATTTCTTATTTTGTTTAACTCCCTTTATTGATGAAAAAATTTTCTTAATTTGATTTAATTAATTTTTTTAGCATCATTTTATATCTTAAGGAGCAATATATTCCTTTAAAGAAAAAAAGCGTTAGGTTAATTCCCATTTTTTTAAATCTCTTAAAAAAGTGTAAAGAAACCTTATAATAAACATAAATTAACCAAATCGCCAAATGACCTTTCTGCATATAAAGAATGCTCAAAAAAGTTTTTCCCTAGCACCATTTATATTTACTTTTCAAATAAAGAAGAGCAAATGCCAGCAGAGATTCTTTCTGGACTTACATTAAAAGTAAATTTATTTATCCACGTAAAAAAATAATTCTACAGCATAATGATAATGAGATATTGATATTGCAAGTTTATTTAATCAATATTTTTCTAATATATTTGCTGACGATAATACTCACCAATGTTTCTCTCTGTAAGGTTGAAATGACGTTATTAGATATTTATGGAGCCTTAAATAGACCCAAGTTTCATTTCAACTGGCCCCGATAATATTCCACAAATAATTTATAAAAAATATAAAAAATGTGCAGTATCTCTGAATCCTAACTTATAAGGACATTATGAAATCTGGCCTTAATCCCAAAATTTGGAAATTGTCTCACATAACTCCCAAAAAAGGAACTGCCTATGACCCTTCTAATTCCTAGATTTGGCCAATACTTTTGTTTCCCATAGTTAAGTTGTCGATTACTCTTAATAGTTATGGCATTACAGGGGACCTGTATAACTGGTTGTCAGACTACATAAAAGATTATTATCAAACACCATGACATCTGGCGTTCTTCAAGGTGGTTGTATTGTGCCATTGCTTTTTTTATAATATAAATGATATATAAAAATGGTACTAAATTCTATCATTTATCTTTATGTTAATAATTGTAAAATTTATTATTTTCATGGTAGAGCGGATAACATATCTCCACTGCAGGAGGACCTCAATAGAATAGCCAACTGGCTATATGACTGGCAGATTACCCTTTCTTTTCAAAAAATATAACGTTCTTCATATGTAAATTCCGAAGGATTCAATCTTCCTAATCTTTTTATCAAAGTCTCACACATTTCTGACCTTGGAATAGTCATGGATGAAAATCTCGATTTCGACTTTCACTACAGAGCCATGGAAAAAAATTCTCAAAGATTACTAAATTTTATTTTTCGCTCGTTCAAGGACAAAACTGAAGGTTTTCTTATCAAAATGTACAAAGCGTTCGGTCTTTTATTAACTAAAATACTACATGTTACTCTCGGAAATTAAGTAAAATAGTTGAAGGACTCCAAAAATATTTTATACGACGCCTCTCTCGTAATAGCAATTTTAGTTATAATAGAAAACTTCAACAATACAACCTGGATTCTCTCTTAATTCGTCGAATTAAACAAGATTTAATTTATACTTATAAGATTCTGTATAGTTATGTCAAATTAGATTAAAATATTGTATTGCAATTTTATTATATAATTACAATTATAATATAATAATTGTAAATATTATAATTTTAGCTAAATTTGAATCCAACAAGAACTAATGGGATAAAATTACTAAAACCTATGTGTAAAACTAAACTAAGGACTGACGATTTCTTTATTCGTATATTAATTAATTAATATGAATTACTGGAATAAATTACCAAACGATATAACATCACCCTTAGCTATCTTTAAAAAAAGATTAGGTGATATCATTTATGATATTATTTAAAAAGTTCGATTTCGATTTTTACCATCTGATTACATATAATACAGTGCAATACAGTTGCAATACAGTGACCTCGAATTGTACTATATTATATTATTTTGTAATTTCATGTTTTATTAATTATTAATTTTTGTCATATTTTCTTTTTCTTTTTTTTTATCATTAATTACTTCGCTCTCCTTGGCTGGTTTTTAATAAATAAATAAATAAAAGTTTCAAGCTGCATTAATAGCAGTGGCAATATTGGATATAATCTAGCGCTTGTTATAATCCGTTATAAATATCAGTGAAAAGAATTATAGGAATATTGAAATTTATTGAAAATCAGTCAAGCAGGGCGCCATATGCTTATATTGATAACAACAGTGA